AGTGGTCGAATATATTTCTTATTTATCTTCATTTCTATTAATTCTCTCCAACATTCCAGTAATAAACGAGTGGGTTCCTTGCGCTAGAGTATTCAAAGTAATTGGAGACGATACAACTATTATCAAATTAACAATTACTGGTAGCATGTTGATGTATACAATAACGAACAGTTCGATGAAACGGAAAAAAATAAATACATTAATTAAATTAAGAAATATATCTTTCTCGGATAAAAAACATATTAATCATCTATCAAAATTACTATCCAAATATCTGGTTTTCGTCATTTGCTATACCGTTGTACTGACACTAATTATAATTCTTATTCTGTTCTATTTTGCTCTCAAAAGAGGATATTACTCACATAATGAATCATTATTCTGCAATATTGCAACGGAAATTTCTTGTATGTATTTCTTTGCCGGACAAAACTCTATTTGGGTTATTGTTACTATTGTTATTTCAATACTAAAAACTGGATTTTTGAGTTTATCGAAAGAACTTTTATTAATTAACAAGAATGACAGAAATTTGTTTCATCAAATAAAAGCTGTAATCCTTTGTCATGATCAATTGTGGCTGTTTACAAATGACCTAAACAAAATCCACGGCTCTGCTGTTTTACTCGATTACTTTATTCTGATGTTGTTGACCTGTTTATACATTTACAGTCTTTTATTTGTAAAAATGAATGAAATCGTGACGTTAGTATCTTCTTTTATTACATTGTTTTTCATGATGGCTTGTCTTATAGTCGCCTCTTTAACATCTGCGTTTATTGCCGCAGTAAGTGTCATCATAATTGTTTACGTATTGAACGTTTGGTTTTCAATAAATTAACTGTTGCGTATTCTGAAACCGTGTCTTCTTTTATCTGTTTTTACTGTCACAACTATGTGCATAGACAGACACTGGGCATTTCTGACATCAGTCTTTATTCGGGAATATCTTGTTGGCCGAATAAATATTGATGTAAGAAATACCCAGTGTCTGTCTATGCACATAGTTGTGACAGTAAAAACAGATAAATTAACATTTATTTCAGATGCAAAATGGCTTTCAAGACATTTGGATATTCGCCGATCGTCATTTGGATCTTGAACAGAAGCTAAACGTCAGTATTTATACAATTATCCTAAAACAATTATTGAATTTAAGACATTAGATTCTTTTCTATGACAATAAAATACTATATGAAATGTTAAATTTATGTAAATGATTTGCTTAAACAGATTTTGAATTTTATGAAGAGATTCGGAAAAGCTTCTTTATCGCTTTCGGCGCAAGGCTTCTTCATTGTAACGAAGAAATTTCCCATCAAGGTAAAATGTAGTATCTTAGAGATAAGTAATTCATTGTTTTCATATTGCATTTTAATACTGTTTTACCGTAATGTATGAAATTAACTATCACGTAAATGTGAAACTTAATTTCACATATTTTGAACGGAAGTATTTTATTAATAACATAACAGCTTTATCCCATTACCTCTCTCCTTTGTTATCATTATGTTGATCCTAAATTATGTAAGACCTTTTCCTGCCTGATTTTTATGCGTATCATAACAAAGGAATAAAACAAAATGGAGATTTTATATCATCATCTTGTAATATTGTTTCATCTATATATATAAAAATGAATGTATGCGTGTCTCTGTGTGTGTGTGTGTGTGTGTGTGTATGTCCTTCAGGCATTATCACACCGTTTATCCGATTGCCGTGAAACTTTGGGAAGTTGTTTAATATATTCCAGCGAAGGTTTGTGGCATAGTACGATTGCCATGAAACTTTGGAAAGTTTTTAATACCCTCCCGCGAAGTACATTTATCCTACGATAGATGGAGCGCGTTTACATGAGCGTTCGAGCACTGTGTGTTCGATCCATTTCAAATTGTGAAGACCATTTCCTCCTTTCAAAAAATATCTCTATTTGCATTTGTTATTTACGATATTTGTAATAATTTTTGTTTAATCACTTTATTTCAACTTTTTTTTGCTAATTATGTATTCGCTCGAACTTGGTTAAAACCTTAACTGTACCCCGAACAACAACCAAAGTTGTAGGAAGAAATTCGCGTATTTTACCTATCTAGGTATCCCCCTTTTCCAAATTTTAATATCGACTCAAAATAATTTAAAAAGACAAATTACAGTACAATAAAACGGTTTATTATCCAACTATCAGAAATTTCACAACATGCCAGGGAAGAGAGGAAGGAGCAATTAAATAATCAAAATTATAAAGGATTTTTAAAAAATATATAAAAATGAGGAATATCGCACTTCTGACAATCGCTGCGAGTGTGTGGGTTAAATTTGGAGAATGCGTGTTTCTCGCGTGGACAACTGTATGTGACCAGCTAACGCGTCGGAAAATCTTCTGATTTATTCGTGTACGCACCAGACGGAAAAAAAAATATCGTGTATCCACAAGCTCTCCAATGAATAAATAGAATTGAAACGACACTTCGAAATGTTTTCCCAATAAAAATGAATAATAATAATGTTAAGTTTCAATAAAAATTATAAAATGTAAATTTAATTTTATCATAACGAGTTTGCTTTAATTTCCTTTCTTCTGAGATCGCAGCAATGCGCGAAGGGTAAGCTAGTTTTTATAATAAAATAAGAATATATTATTTCAGTCCAATCTTATGTTAAAATCACATTCACTGATGTGATAATTTTTGAAATATTAATTTATTAGGTTATGACAAAAATTAAAAGAAACTAAAATAAAACACCAAGAATTAAAAAACCGCATTTATCTGTATTCTACAACCTTGTTTCAAATATTGAAGTATTAAAAAATTATTTATTAAACTTGCAACGTTAAATAATTGTTAAAGGATTCAAATAAATTACAATAGTTTTTGCCAAAATTTATTTACAAATGATTATTTTTCCATCGACTCTTCATCTGGAGCTTATCTTGTCAGGAGTAAATTTTATAACTTTTCGTACTTAAAACGATTTGAAAAAAAACTCAAGCTTTCCAATAGTTTATAATGAAAATTTTACAGCTAAATGTATTCGATTATTTATTATATTTAAAGAATTATTAAAATAGTTGTATTTAAATTTGTTCGCAGATGGCAAATTCTTTGTATTCGATATATTCGAGTCTGTTGAATGTGAGAAGTGCGGAGCAAGAAACTGTAAAGTGTTCAAAAAAATCTCTTCTGTGAAAAGAAGATTCGATTTGAAAATGAAGTGCACGAACCAGAAATTTCCCTTTTTGATTTTTAATTAATGAAGAAATTATCAATTCCTGCATCAATTTTAAAATTTTATTGTGAATTGTTAAACAAATTCTAAATGTAATTACGAATGTAATGATATTTACTATAAATTATATTACAGTATTTATCACGCTATATGTGAAAAAGACGAACGGCCTTTATGTCTGTCACTCTGTATTTCTATTCTGTATTTTTTATGAATTAAAAATGTGAAATGTTGCAATAAATCGATATTTTGTTTACTAACAACAAAAAAAAAAAAAAAAAAAAAACATGATCGTTTTCCTATTACTTCAAATTTTAAAAATTATTTTACAATAAAATGCACAAAACTTTTACGAAAAAATGTATTGGTGTGAGAAACCGGGCTAGTATTTTTTGTAATATTGATTATCTTAATGTTATTTCATTACTCGGAAAGGTTCATGTGCGCCTAAAGTCACAGGTAGTCTCAGTCCTGACAGTGGTGTCAGAAGTCAACTTTTGATTGATAGCAAACACAAATTAATTTTGAAGACATTTTCTATTTATTAACTCTTTCCGCCCTGTGGGCACTAAGAGGGCCTTTTTTTAGCAGGCTTACTATGGGTTCGTCTAGGCCCACAATGGGGTGGCTGGGTAATGAGGGGCGGGGCCCGACACATCAGGACAGACCAACCCCTCGAAAAATTCCTGGGGATTTTTCGAACTAGTTCGGATTCGATCCCGGGTCCCCCGGAGCGATAGACGGCCACCTTAACCGCTCTGTCATCTGGCCGTCCTTCTAATCACTTACACCAATTATCATTCTAGGCTGAGTTCATTAATAGTGGTCACTCTGCATCTCTGCTACTAAGGGATGTTTGTAAGCATTTAGGAAGAAAGAAAGGTGGCGGCCCCCGTACTATCGATAGTATCGTAACAACGAAATCTACGATTTTAAAATATGTGTTTTTAAAGACAAAAGAAGGATCCCAGTTGTAAAATTTAACCATGATATGGATTATATTGCAGACAAAGTAGCCATGAAGAAAATTAGAATGCCGGCTACCATTCGAAAAAACGTTACATCGCGTGCTCGAACTTGTGCTTTCACAACTTCTAAATTTTCATTCATAAAACCACATAATGGACCTCGAAACAAACCGGTCTGAGCAACGGAGGATGCCATATTGCTATCCACCATAAAGTATTACTACCAGCAGCCGTTTTTGCCGTCTGACACCGCGCACTTGGGCCAGAATATAGGAATGCATTTCGCAGGAAATTTTAAAGGGATGACGCTCTTTGGAAATAATTGATTTACTTTCAGTTCAAGATTAAGTAAGAAAAACATATTAGAAAAACGAGAAATTATTTATTGTGACATGGTCACAATAAATTAATTTCTCGTTTTTCTAATATTGCAATTTTTAATCATACTTTTAATTTATTTCATTTCAAATACATGGTCTCCACCTGAAATTAATAGTGTCTTGCTCCTGTACATCATACTTTTCCTGTTAGCAAGAAAGTTGTGCCAGTTATCCAATTGCTTTCAGGGGAAAAATGTTTGAATTGAAATAATGTGACTTCCGGTTTCCATATGAAGTTTGTATATAGTTAATTAGGTCCTGTTTCTTGTAACCTTTCCATACTGGTCTCGGCTTTCATGTCACTAACTCAATTCTCGAGATTAAAGAAAGACAGAAAACAGACAGATGCCAGTGGAGATTTATATCAATAGGTCTACAATTTTTGAAAATTGCAATAAAAATTAGTCATAATTATACTTGTACACATATAGAAAATATTCTGATTTATTTATTTTTAATAAATTACATAAAACTTTAAAAATTTGTTATTTACATTTTTTTATTTTTATACAAAATAAAAAGGTGGTTAGTGATCTAATTGGCATAATAATGCTGTTCCGCGCTTTACCCAATGTCGGGCGGGTTTTCTCGTAGGCAGTAATATTGGTAAGACGTAATTGGTGGAATGACCCGTGGTGGAAAGGGTGCCACGTCTTTCGCCAGTTTTATAGAGTGGAGTCCTATATAAAATTTTAAATATTAGTTAATTACTAAGAGCTTCCCTTAGAACTAATTATTGAATCCAATAAAGAAGACAAATTAAAAGTTATTCAGAGAAACCCAAGAAATGAGAACTGAGCTAGATCCTTAAATGGCAGACTCTTTTTTGCTTCAGCCATCTGGCAGTTTAATATACACTACTGTACATTAAGAAAATTAACTCTATCCAGATATATAAAATAATTTAGGTTAGATGATATAAAAGACTTACTTGTATCGACCTTCTTCAATGATTTCCTTCTTAATGCAAGGCTTTAACCAAATAACAGGCATATTATAATATAGTATTTTATTCTGTTGTTCTGTTAAAATATTACTGGAAATACAGAAGATAATTCCAATAAATTTAAATAACTACATCATGAATAATTATATTATACATATATTAAAGTTATAGTTGTTAATTACTTTCTTTCATCTTCAATAATTATATCATTTATATAATTTAAAATGAAATTGATAGAAGCAGCATTTATGAATAATTTTTGTCAACATGTATACAATGATATGATGCATAAAGTTGGTCGTGAAAAAGAATGTACAGTATTTTATAGTGTATGTTCTTTTAATTACACTAAAAAATTGAGTACAATATAGAAATGCATTTTGTTGCTCAAAGGGATCATTTTCAATTGATGTTATAAAAGTTAGTACTGTATTTTTCTCCCTTACCCTTCTTGTCTTTGTTTTCATCATCATAAATAAAATTGAGACAATGGCTGATTATTAAATTAATTGATAAAAATATGGATAGTTGATGAGGTTAATGACTCAAGTAGAAAACAACTGGTCAAAAATGTTCAAAAGGAAGAAAAAATAAACATTAATAATAAACCAAATATAGTGAAGTCCTGTAAATGTACTTCAAAAATGTTTATAAATAGTTCATGCAAGAGTGCAATACTAGAAGTAATCTCTATTAACAACCATTCTGAAAGTAGAGGCAGCAAAAATTGGTTTTGCCTTAGTACAAGTTACCATTAAACCAGCACTGAAAATATGTTTGAAATTGTCATAATGGAAACAACAGTATGCCAATGTTCCAGCATTAAACACACAATTTTAAAAACTTTATATAAAAAAATGTACTGTACAATAATTGCAAATGATACAATTTGATATGCTCTGTTTGTAAAAACTGATTTTGTTAAATTATTTAGAATAACGTAAAGTAATCATTCAGTCAGAACTTTATACAGAAAATCAAAGTTAAGCATCTTGATGATAATTTGTGTAGCAACATAAACATATTGAGAGCAAACTGTGGTATATACTCAGTCACTGAATAATCTTATATGGATCATCATATCATTTGATACTTGAAACGTGCAATGCCATAACGTTGTAATTGCCATTTTTCTCAAAATACGTTTTATTGAAGAATTGAATTCTAAATGCAATATTTTCTGCTGCAGAAAATACTGTGGCATTATTGGCATTGTAAGTGAATGTATTTCAAAGTTAAATTTATGTGAAGCCACAATGTTTAAAATGCCAGAGTGCAGTCATGTGACACTCAGCACCTAAAATGTTACAGCTTATATTTACATCATTTTAATATTCCAGAGAATTTGTAACCTAGTGAATTTTTTACCATTTTATTGTAAAACTAAAATGAAAAAGTGTTTTTTTTTTAATCTCTCTTTAAAAGTTTTTTTTTGTATTTAAAACATCATGGTATTGGATGCTTCACTTATAAAATTGACCAACCACAATGCTTAGTGTCATTTATCATGGAATGTTTCTGTCTGTTCTTCTGTATAATAAATTTTTTCACTTTTAGACTTAACCATAACTCTCATCAGTAATGCAGCCAGAAATTTAGAAAGCCGTTTCTAAATTTCTGAAATGCAAAAAATATACAAATTATGTGTTCTTTATATTATTTCATGTGATTGGTTTAAAGCAATTAAATATATTATACAAATCACAAGTAACTGAAACAAGTTACACGCACAGGTTTAAGTCATTAGATTCACATGAATGTGAAAGAAAAAATTCATATTTTTATTATATTAATAAAAATTTGAAAACTGACTTCTATGATTTAAATTTATACTTATGTGGTGATTAGCTTTAGTTTACTTATTCACTTACATATAAGCAAATTTCAATTGCTAAAAAAAATGGATATTAGTAGCAGGGGTGTAATTGCTTCCTTGCACTCCCCTGGCTGCAATCAATTCTCATGGTAAAGTCCTAAATCAGATCTCTATATATTGTAATCTTGATTAAGAATTTCAAATTTCTAAAATGTTGTTATATTTAAACATCAAAATACTAAATATTGTGCATAAAAATTTTTCAATTGCAATCAATGTTTCAAATTTTAATTATTCCTTAATATTTTGATATATGTAATTAATGTTTCTGAAGATTTTACACATAAAAGCCAAATAAATTCCAGAATGCTTTGCGATTAGTTATTCAAATAATGTAATAATGTAAGGTAATATAATTATTAAAGAAATATTTAAAATTTATCTTGCAAATAAATATTACAAAAATAATTGGCTTACTGTTCTTTGTCCCATCTGGCACCATCTAAAAACAAACCATTTATATATGCACCATCGGTAGAAAATGATGACATCTCAGTTGAGTCCATTACCTATTGTTAGATATTTTCTATATAAATTATATTATAATAATAATTTATGTATTATCTAATAATAATTTTTTAAAGAAATCTCTGTTTTTAAAAATACATTAGTTAATTAATTAAAAAAATTTAATATGTAAAATATGTACTATTGTATGGTGGTTTTCAACTGAATAGATCAAATATATTTATGAATCCAAGGATTTTATTCTAAGTTTTTCTTAGTTTACAAACTTAATAGTTTTCTATTCCTTACAAAAATATATTTTCCTATTATCTGCTACCATTTTAATTACTTGATTTTATATAATAAGTTTTTTAAAAAAAAATTAGATAAATAACCGATGGAAAATGCTATGTTTAAAAAATTAATATAACAACAAATGAACTAGGTTTTAAATAATTAAACAGAATAAGTCTATTGATAAATATTTTAAAAATACTTAAAACTTTCTAAGAGACTAAAACCAATTATTTCACAATTATAAAATCTTAATTTTAGTTCTGTAACTGATTTATAAAGTTACAGAGTAATAATATGGGAAATTTACTGAGTTTCATTACAAATAATGCAAAGTAATTTTGTCAAATTCTATTTGAATATTAACTGCTTCATTTCAATCCAAACCATATTATATAGCCAAAAGAAATTCAAAAGAATTATCTTCTTCATATATAGTATTTTGATAACGTACATAAAGCATTTATTACAAGATATTCAATATCCTCATAATTTCTTACAATCACATCACAATTGATATACTGTAATTAACTTTTGTAATTGTGATTATAAAAATATCTGTAAGTTGAAGAGAAAAACAGTTTTCTTTTTCTTTTCTTTCAAAAATAAATTGTTTTTCTCTTTAATTTGATATATTATATATTGCTTTTTTCTTTGCTTTATGTTGGAAAGAAAAACAATCCATTTTTCCAAAATGTAGACTCACAACTGCATAGTAATATGAGATGGCTAAGCAATGGTCCTCTTGTATTTTCCTGGTAAATCCCTTTTAAATCTTAAAAGTCCTTTCTAGTCTTGCACATTTTTGTTTTTATGATAAAATATTCAAATATACAAGATGTTGTAAATTTTAAAGGTGCAAGCTTTTTATTCCAATTATAAATTGGGGCAACATTTGCATAGCTTGCCTCATTTTCCTATTTTTCACTTAATTAGATTTATTATTTTTACATTTATTCCTTTATACTTTTTTCAGTTTTCTTGTTCTCACCTGAAACAGGCAGTAGTCATGGCAGAGACTAATATCACAAATGCATATATACAGGGTGTATTTTTTATCTTGAGACATTGAAATAACTTAATTGGATCTCATTATTTTGGAAAAAGGTATAAAACAAAAGTTGTAGGGTGTCGAGGAGGCCAATCAATTGGTGACCTCAGATATGACCTTGACCTTCAAGGTCATTTGGATTTTGTATGTATTTTTTCCTAATGTCAGTTCTAAGATAGTGAATCATTCACAACTAAATATCAAACAGTAATCTGCCAAACAATCAAATTTAATGAAAAATGGAGCAAATATTTAAACTCAGCATATTCAAAAACCACTTAAAACATATTTTGTTCTGGTCATTAACCTTGTATTATGCAATTTTCCTATTCGAATGGCACCATTCCGGTGGGACAGATAGAAGGAAGAAACTGTAGCAGAAGGGGGTCTAACTAATTTGACCAAAAGTAGTCATTGACCTCCTCCTGGGAGAAAGGATGGTAAACGATAATACTGGTCTACTAGTAATATTTGAAAAGTAATCCATGTTCAATACATTGTTATGGCTCCACATGTGATCAAAGTGCTAACCTTAATTAATGTCTGAAAGACTTCATATGACTTGCTTAAATAAAAAACATCTTATAGAAATGTGAGAATAATTGCTTTTATGTGATAACAAAGTGTTTAAATTTTGGCAACAGATTGTATAAACTACATGGGAAGTATATATAGATGAAAGTCAAATGGGGAAAGCTTAAGGCAGGAGGCCCAGAATTAACTGTATGTGGTTTGGAACAAAAGTCACGTTACTTCAATTCAAAATTTTCCCCTAAACAGAGTTTGATAGATTACCAACATGACTGTATTGCTAACAGGAAAAGTATTACATACAGGGACAAGACCACCACTAAAAGGATTGAGAACAATGTAACAAAAAGTTACAGCCCAGCATTGTAATGATGTCAATAATTAATAGCTCGTTAGAATTATTTTGGTTTAATTGGTTACAGCAACATGACAAGTAAGTGATCTACTGAGGGGGATGCATCCCGGGAAGACTTTTACATGAAGCTAGACCCTATTTAGGTGTTACTAATGTGAAGAAAACCCAGAAAACTCCACATGGCCAGCCCGTTGACTATGCCCAAACCCATAATTAACTAACTACCAATGTTCAGTGGTTTTATCCACTTATTAGAATTAAGAAAATACCATTCAGAAATGAAATTCCCAAGTTGTTAGATGTGGAAAATTAAATACTTAAATACTTACTATAGACTTTCAGAAGGGTAACACTTTCCACACCATGAAGGAAAGCGCTATATGCTACCTGTCTCAGTAATGATACAGTGCATCTATTTCGCACTGTATCATTGTTGCAGTAAGTAAGTGAATATAATATATATTTTTCGAAATTATATTGTTTTCTGTAAAAATTACATTTAATTTATTATTTTCTAAATTTTTGCCAACAGATGGAACTACATGCAAATTGACAACTCAAATGCAGATAGAAATTAATTGATTTATAGAAATCCAATTTATGTTCTGGGGTGATATGACCAACATTATCTAAGTTAGATGCATGTGAATGTAACTGCCATGTTTTGTAGCAATTGGTCAAATGGCCTAGAAGTGTATAGTGAACATATAAACAAATAAACATCTTCATTTATATATATAAAAATTAAGATTACATACTGTACATACTGTATTAATTCTTATGGTATTTATATTAGCTATAAATGTTTATCTTAATTCTAGAGATTTTATACTTACCTCAAAATCAAATGCTAATAAATCAATTGGTATAGTATATTTTCTGGCATGGTTCTGTAGTGTTCCTGTTAAAAATGCTTGTGTGAAATAAAATCCTGATAACCAAAATGTTTTTGGTTTTCCTTTATCTATCCACATCTAAAAACAAACATTTTAATATTGAAATGTTAGTTATTTTAGTTTAAAAAATGTTTCTTAATATAAAAATGAATAATTTATTTTTAAATTTCTGTAATATTTATAAGGAAATACATCTAAAACAATATAATGCAACTTCACAGCATAATATATGTTGTAAATTAAATATGTTATTATAGATAACCTAAACATTATTTTTCAATTCTAATCAGCTCATTTATTATAAGATAAATTAATTTGTATCTGCTGTAATTATTAAAATATAAGAATATTATTTTTGAGATTAATTTCTATAAAATGAAAAATATTTTACATAATGAATTCCTGTAAAAGAAAAGGCTGTCTATTAAGAATTTTGAAGATACACATACACAATTTTTGAAATACTTATGTGTACACACACACACACATACATTTGTGTATATATAATATATATATATATTATATATACACTTAATATTATATATAATATATATATAATATATATTATATATATATTATATATAATATTAAGTGTATATATAATATATATATATATTATATATACACAAATGTANATTTTGAGATTGTGTATGCATACATACATATATATATATATATATATTTATATATATATTTATATATAATAAATAGATAGTCTTGTTCTTGTATATATATACACGTGAGGCCCAAGTAAGACTTAAGCTCACGTGTTAAAAATTTGATAAACGTGTCAAATCAAATCAGTGGATTGATAAACTGCTAATGCTCATAAAACCTGAAAAAAAAAAGGGAAATAAAATTGGGAAAGAACAAAAGTATTAGTCGAGAAGGAAAAATACTTTTAAATAATCTTAAAAGGAGATCTAGCACAGAGTACAAGAATTCAAAACAATACTTAAGTATGAGCAGGTGTTTCAAAATATGATTAATTTCCCTTGATCGTGTAAAACGTGATGTCAAATTTGACCCATTGTAACCAAAACTGGTCTGTTATCTATCTGGCTACAAGAAACCACCCATCAGAAAGCTAGAGAGCTGAGGAAAGAATCCTTTAAAAGCCTTGATCTCAAGGACAAAGGCAGATTTTCCTCTGTCCATGTTGTGAGTTATCCAACAAGTTTTCAGTGTTCTACATACAAACTCTTCAACCCTAACTTTACCATTCTGCCTTTGGATTGTTTTGTTTTCTTGACATTTCATCACTGGATTTCCCAACACTCATAGAAACATCTTGACTGACTGCCCGGGGCCATTGATTCTACTACCGATCAGCTCCAACAATTAATGAGACACTCTATAGAATGTAAGATTTAGCATTAATAAATGAGTATATTTTGTAACTGCAGATGTCTGCCTCATTTCCATCCACCCCACATCAGATAAATCCTGACATTTGTTTATCTCCAATTCATCAACTTCATATGCATATACACAAGACTAACAAAAATATTTATTATATATATGTGTGTATACACAAGATGTCTAACAGGTTGCATCAACACTTTCCATGATCATCTCTTTTGGAGTACTGGTATCAACTTATTCCCACACAAGCAGGTTGTTCACAATTGCTCTTTGCATCCATCCGACTTCAACCTGACTGATGTGTCTCTTGATCCTATTCCTGGGCCTGCTATTCTGAGTGTGATATTTACATCTTCACAGACTGTTCTAAGTCTGAGCTTGGTGTTGGCTCAAGTGTATGTGTATATACCCATCTACATGATAATCCTCAGCATATTTTTAGGCAGTGTTACAATCAGGCTACCACTATATATTATGCTGAATTAGCTGCAATACATCAGGCAGTTCGATGGAGTTTTGACACTTCCTGACCAATTCAAATTTATTTCAATTTTTAGTGACTCTAAAGCTGCTTTAATCTCTCTTATGAATATTGACTCTCAAAGTAGTCAGATTAGAAATATTCAAGAAACTGTACATTTAAGTCTGAAAATGCTTTAAATTTTTCTAAGTCCCAGATCTGGTAGATGTGATGGAAAATGAGATGGCAGATGCTGAAGCAAAAGATGCTTCTAAAGTTGAAAACTTACCTCTGACTTTACATTCTTATTCTAGAAATGTCCTGACAAGGATAATTTATGATTGTCTTATCTCTGCATGGAACCAGTCATGGACTTCTTCGACTAAAGGGAATGTCACCAAGATGTTCTACCCATCAGTTTATGATTTTCTTGAGCATCCAATTAAGAATTTTTCCTATTCCTTTCATCAGATTCTAACTGGTCATGGTAATTTTAATTGCTATCTAGTGACATGTAATTTGGCCAGCACTACCTTCTGTTCATGCGCAATGGGTAAAGTTGAAACTGTAAAGCACATAATTTACGATTGTCACATCTATGAAGTTGAATGCTTCAGGCTAATGCTGGAAGTTCTGTCCTTGGAATATGGTTGGCCCTGTTCAGCTCATATTCTTGTGTCCAAGGAGTTGTGTGCATATTTTGCTATTTTTATTAAGGATATCTTTAAGAAAAAACAGTTAACTGCTTATTCAAATTCCAGTTGTTAGCTGTTTCATTCTGAATGTGCATTGTTCACTTTCTTACTTATCTCTTGTCATTTTTATGTATATACCATACAGTACTTACTGATTTGGTGTCATTTCAGATTAGTGAACTCAATTAAAAAAAAAAAGAAAAAACATAAGATGTCTAAAAATACCTGCCATCTTTAAATGCAATTTTCTCTGCAACAAATGAGCAAAAGTTTAAGAATATCTCTGACACAGTATGAGCATCATTTCATTTGAATATATAAAAAAGGTTTCCTTAAACTATCACATATTGCAGAGAAAAATGCTTTTTGGTCTAATTAGTTATGTAATTTTTATAAAAATTATCTATATACAAACTCAAAAACAATCTTACATTAAAAAATTTAAAACAATACATCTTTTTAATTATTATTATTTAAAGTGAAAAGTTCACATTAAAAAAATAAATAAATAAATTTGATAAACTTCCAGTTTTTAACATAAACTAAAATGCTTTAAAATGAGCACATAAGAATTAATAGTATTTTCTGTAAAAATTAAAAGTGTTTTCATTATGTTATTATCAAAATTAAAAATAAAATATGAATTTAAAATATTTAATTTTATATACAAATATGTTTTTTGTACCTTGAAAAAATTAAGACGTTCACATAAATCAATAATGTAACTAGCAAGAGGTTTAATAGAAGGATAAGAATGAGATATCCAAAGTTCTGGAACTTTTCCTATCAAAATATTTCCAGCTAGGTCTTCCAAACTTTTAGATAGAACAACTGTTCCTTTTATAGCTGCTTGGAATGTTTTTAAACTTGTCTTAATAATATTTACTAATCTATAAATAAAAATATAAATATATTATTTACAAAATAAAATTTAAAAAATAAAATTAAAAAATATTTCAAATTATTCTACAATGTTTTTAAAATTAAAATAAATATCAATAAATTATAATTAGAGATAGAGTACACTGTGTGAATTTATATCAAATGTACTATAACAATATGTGTGATGTACATTTTTCCCTAGAGAAGAAAGAGGCAACAATTGCAAAAAGCATTACTGCCAAAGACTTGTAATGGGTTATAAAAAAATATGTTACCAGGAGAGTTTTTCTCTGTGATTGCAGGACCTGTTTCATCCAATGTTCCCTCTAATTTTTTTTGTAGATGAGCGGAACATATACTTCTCAGATTCTGGGCAAAACATTTTTCTGAGCATATATATATATAATCTTATTTTTTCCTATAAATATTAAAATAATTAATTATAAAGTAGAAATTAAAATTCATTTTAAAACATACTTTTATACGAAATATTATCTTTTGTCAATGATTTAATGTATTTAATCGAAATATACGCAGCAATAATCATGTTGCAGACAGAGTGAGAAATAAGTAAACAACAATTCAAATCGGTGTGCATGCTCACCTGCGCGGCACATAAATTCTCGTGCGTGGCAACAATTTGAGCAGTGCACGGCCGCACAGCTTAGAGGGAACATTGGTCTCATCTACTCCTTTTATATCTATAAAATTTGGCTTGTAAAGTAAATGTAGGCAATATGTTTTTTGTGGTAATCTGTTATTTGTCCTTTGCTCTTGTTACACACAAAATTATAGAAATTTTACAAATTTCTCTACAAATTTATTGAAACTATCTTTGTTAGAGCAACTTGAGAAATTTAAATGCTTTCATGTTTTTTTTTATGATATTCATGTTCAGATTTATTAGGCAATGTGTGTCAGAAATGACATTTGATTGAGAACATTATAGAAAAACACCATAAACCATAATTTTTGGCTGATGTGTACATGAATAAAGGTTTGTTATAGAAGTTTTTTAAATCCTACATTATACAAATAATAAATAATTTTAAAATGTATTTTCAAAACTTTCAAATTGAAAACAAATGAAGCAAACATTAATGGAAATCAAAATACAGTAGAGCGTCGATTATCCGAAAGTCAATCATCTGAAAGAATTCCAGTTGGCAAATTTAAATTTTTGCCAGTGCTGTGGCGCTGCAATCTTTGGCTATGTCTTGGGCTACTCAAATATTTTACGTTTTTGATACTAAATTAACTTCTGAAGTATAATTTTTTATTGTTTTTATATTTTTCAATATATTTATTTTGTTCGTACAAAATAAAAAAATAATTTTTAACGATACAATAGTCTTCGTTAGGCTTAACATTGACGAAAATTCAACGCAAAGTGACACGCAACAAAGAAAAATGTCAAGATGGGATAAATTAATATATTTTTGTACATAATCGGTTATCCGAAACATCGATCTTCCGAACAATCCCAGTCCCCAATTGATTTGGATAATCAATGCTCTACTGTAAATAAACAAAAAATGAACAACAACATTTTTAATGTTTGAGATTCTTATTATATCATTATAAAAACAAACAATTTCAAAATGATGTCATAAACCACTACTCTTAAGGATCACATGTAAACTCTAAGCTATTTTATGTGTGGTTCTGGTACACTTCCAGAACCTCAAATGTAAAAGGTAATTTATAAAATAATTTTATAAAACTATTAATGTTAAAAGATAGAAATTCGATGACCATAAAAGAGCATGTTTGAACTGAATGAGAAAAAGAGAATAGTTCTCACATTTAAACAATAGAATAATGTAAGTCCTAAGATCAGCCATCTTTGATTGGGATCGAATTGACAGACAATTTTGACTCATCCCCCGATCTAGGTTTTGATCTTGTTTGTTACACTTAGTAACAAGTGATGACCAATTAGAAAGTGGAGATGAGCAAAAATGATCAATTGAAGTGGTAGATGTGGGACCTGAAAAAATTATAAAAATTGGAATTTCAAGGATACAAAGAGCTTCTCTACCTGTCTTTCTATTGTGAGACTTCCTCCTTGGTGGAAATATACTCTGCATTCCCGACTTTGCATCTAACTCTTTGTCTCTCGCTATGGATTACTGCCCAACAATGCCCTGAAACAGTCAACTTCTGAAAAGAACTCAGGAGATTTGTTCTTGCAGGACCCTTACCCTCCACAGAAAGAAAACGATCTAGTAGACTTGATTATACTTGCCATTTTTAAGACCATTGTAGTTGCAAGAATCTTTATTGCAACAATAAATTGGGACAATTGCTACGTAATTATGGAGTGTGTCTCTGTACTATTCGTTCCCACATATGATATGGAACTATTCCGTCATTTTGATCTTTTAGCACAGATTAGAGAACGCAAACTTAAAAATTAAAGAATACTTAAATAATGTTAATAGTATTTGAATTATTTTTTCAGTTAAAAATATGATTATAATTATTTATTTTTATTTTTGCAATATGTTTTTTAGAAATGTAACTATACAAGAGTAAAATAAGAACATGAAATTTAACAACTATTTATGAGCAAAGTTCCTTAAATGTTAAATTTCATGTTTTTAGAAACAGTTTAAAGAAAGTTTAAAGTTATTTTAAATTTTCTTTAAATTGTTACTTACAAATGAGTGAAAATATTCTGAAACAAACTGATGTTCTTTTCATGCTTCATAAGTATTGTGTATTTTTATTTCAAATCAATAATTTTTATACAAAAAATGGAAAATCTCATAATAAATTCTAATACATAAAAATAAAATACTTACTGATTGTATCTTTCCAATTCTTGAACCAAAACTGTATTCATACTTTCATTATACTTTACTGGATATTGAATTTTAGCTTTCTTTAAATCAAATTCTTCAGGTAGCTAAGAAATTTGAAAATGACAATTATCCCATCTAACAATATAAACATTTTCTTAAAACATTTAAAATAATAAAATTAAGAAAATAGAGTAATTGTAAACAAATCATGATTATACTTTTAAGAGTCATTAAGATTGCTGCTGTTTGTTTCAACCATCAAGCACCATGGCTTAGCGATTATCATCTCAGTCTATGAATCGAAAGGTCTCCAGTTTGAATCCGTTCAATGGTAAATTAGTTTTGTTCTTTTATATTCTCTTTTTCAAAGTGTGAAGAAGGTTCTCATATGTAAATTAACTGTTATTTAAATATCTCTGCAATGCCCCCTCACGCTATAAAAGTACAAGCTATCAGACTATCAATTCTGGTACTGCAAGCTGCAGAGGTAATACACTCTGTGAATTGATAAAGAATCCTTTCATGTTTACAACAATTTGTTACTGCTGTTTCCCTTCCATCTAAATGACAATATAATTCTTTATTTGGTAATTTTAGGATACTACTCAGCTTCAGAATTTACATAAAATTATGTGATATTTATATTAGAAAACAAAGCTCAAAAGGCTACAGTCTATTATCATATATAACTTACACTATCATTTATTTACTGAATCAGTGCAATTTCAATGAGAAACAATGGGTGGGACCAATGCAATCCAAGAGTGAGATTGGGTTTGGAGGATTGCCATATTTGACAGTTTTATGTCAAATATGGCAATTGAATATATTGAAATATGAATTTTATAAAATATTAGATGACTCAAGGATATTTCCTTTTATTTCCACACACAATTTTATAGAAAAATCTCATATTCGTATAAACATAGCAACTGCACAAATCTAAATTTGACAATGAACAACTAATTTGTCAAATCCTACTTTTTTTGCACTCAAATTAGAATTATCTGTTTGATAAATAACAATGTACGTCATATGTGATTGTGACAGTTATATGATCTGTAATTTTTATGTTTACCATTATTTTATGTTATGTTGTATTTTATGTTAAGTTAAGTAAACAAACTACTCATAGCTTGTTTCTTGTCTTTGTGGTTGGCACTTGCAAGATAATTTTGACTTGAATTGTATAATCAACAATGGACAGAAGAGAAAAAGTCTAATTGGAGAAATAAGATATTGTTTTAAGAAGGAATAGAAAAGAAGCAAGAAATGAAAAACATTTTTTGAAATTATTCTTAGGTCTCTACAAGAAAAGAAGTCAATTGAAAATGAAAGAGAGAGTAGGCATTTTTGATGATATGAAAGAAATTAAGCACTTATAACTTGTATTGGTAACCAACCACTATTTGAAGAATATGTTTTCTTACTATTTTATTCTGTCAAATCTTTTAAAATGTTTTCTTCTCTTTTAGGGAAAGATAATTCAGAAAAGAAACTAACTCTTGTTGAGTCATTAACCTTTGTACAGTGGGTTAGTCAGCTATGGTGCTATCATGATGTAGTGGAGAATAAACATAGGAAAATACTTTAAAAATTTTCCATGTGTTTTTCTCGTTACCATTTTGGAAAAATGTTTTTAAACATTTATGTCTAGTAAAGAAAAATCTTTTTCTATTGTCACATAATTCCTTTATTATGTGAATTTTTTTCACGGTAGTTTTTAGCTAATTTTCGGCAATATCCACAAAATTCTTTTGCAGATATAGCCGTCATTCACCAGTGCCATGTGATCGCCCTTGACGGGTACAGTAGACCCCCCTATAATTACAGTCCCTATAATTACGATTCCTATAAAACTGCGAAAAAATATCCGTAAAAAGTATCCGTAAAAACTCCTATAATTACGTAAAACGTCATCGGGCAGCCGAACTACTTTCCCGCCATCCGTAGCGCCACACTACGGAGAGATTACTATCATCTGTACAGTATTATATATAAATTAGGTACTGTATATGTAATTATATATTAATTATTATATATTAATTATAATTATATATTATTATATGTATATATTAAGTATATATAATTATATATTAACTTATTGTAACTTTATTATAATTAAATATATAATTTCCGCCGTCTAGCATGGCGCCACACTACGGAGATTTTTACGCTAACTATCGTCTGTCAGTATGTAAATTAGGTACCGTAAGTCTAATACAGTACTGTAATTTTATACATTTCTTGTGAAAGAAACATTTCTTATTCAACGGCGATTAAAATTATTTATATTAATGATGTCTCCGAAGTTCAACGAAGTTTTCACAGAAAAATAAGTTGTTAGAAATCGGCCGCTCTTTGCTGAGCTGTTCCGCGACGAAAACAATGTTGAGCAATGGCAATGTCGAATGGTGACACTCGGTAAGTAATCCTACAATTTTTTGTTTATAGCGTAGTTTATACGGATTATTTCCAAAAAAAATATACATATTTTGGAAATGTTGAGTTGGATTAGTCTAGAATCGATTAATTTTATGGAAGAAAACCTTTCAATCAGCCGTAGTCCGTAAACTTCACACGTGTTGGGCTGTGATTGGAACGACTCGTAAGAAATTGGATTCCTAAAAAGTGGAACGTATCTATGATCTTATGAAGGGGGGTCGACTGTATATCCGTCGATCACTGTAGAGTGGTTAACATTGTCTGGTGTATGATATATAAAAATTTTTGTAAAATATATTTTTTCATAATTATAATCATAATCAAAATGAATTACATCTCACATGAGATAGAATCTTATCTTTTGAAATTTGTTTACTAATGTAAATATAACAATTTTATATAGATTCCAATAATGGAAGCTTTTATGAAACACTAAATGAAAAGTAATATTAAAGACTTCTAAAAAGTTTTATTTGTACTCTTGAAATTATACTATTTAAAGCTGTTTGGAATTCAATTATTTAGCTTAAGAAAATAATTTTTATAAATAAAATAATTTTAAAAAGTGTTTTACCTTCTCCAAAATATCTGAAACAATTTCACTTAAATGTGAGTCTGTAAATTTAACAGATATTTTTTTCTTTTTTCCCTGTAATGCTATTATTGAACTGAAAAGGCATTTCATTTCTCTTAATTCTTTTGAAATGTTGACATTGGGATGCATTCCAAATATTTCAGGATCCTGAGTTGAAGGTAAATTCTAGAAAGTATATAATATTTTACAATTATAAAAATTACTTTTAATAAAATATTTTAATATATAAAATTTTTAATTTGATGAAGTAAGATGAAATAATAAGTGTAGTCAAACATCCTGTATTTTACAGAATTGACATGCATTCTACTTTACTGTCTTGCTGTCTCTTTAATCATGATAGTCCAGCAAAAAATTTTTTGTGTATGTATATATATGTGGTGTGACAGAAAAGTAATGAGACAAATGTTTTTTGCAACAATTTTATTTTATTTTTATACATTAATTAATGTTATCCCCTTCATCAGTGGAGGCATTGTTTCCAGTTTTTGTAGCAGTGTTGGAAGGCTTCAGCTGGAATCACCAGTAGCTCTGCAGTTATGTTCCTTTGGATGTTATCAACAGTACTAAGATGATGTCCTTTCAGAAGGGTTTTGATATTGGGAAACAATAAAAAGTCACACGGACTGAGATCAGGCAAATAGGGGGCCTGGGGAACCACAGGAATCCCCTTTTTCTGTCAAAAACTGGTTGATAGAGATAGCCATGTGACAGGGGGCATTGTCATGGGGGCATCCAAGTGTCTACATGACCTTAGAGAGTGTGATAAGTGAAGTTTTGTTTTTGTATTGTGTTACGGAAAATGAAACAGCAAAATTTAGAGCAATGGTGTGCCGTCAAATTTTGTGTCAAGTTTAGTGAATCCACAAGTTTGACCTATGAAAAGTTATATATATATATATATACACACACACTTTTGCAGTGATACGGTTTCCTACAAAATAAGAAGGGGAAAAATTATAAGGAATTTGTCATTTATAAAAAAATGTGTCCAGTCATCGTGTGAGGAAATTCAAATAAAGAGCAAAGGTAAAATGAGGAAAGTAGATGGACACTGAAAATCAGTAGCAGTCATAGGATTTGTGAGGCCCATTAAATAAAAGTGTGATAGAGGTAGAGAATAGAATTATTTATAGAGTTCTACAATACTATACAATATTATACAATACAATATAGAGTTCTACAATAATGAGAACATTTTTAATATACAAATAGGCAGTAAAACACACAATAGTTTTACAATGAATTGGAAAATTCAATAAGTGTACAGAAATTCATCTACAAAACTACTCTCCTGTTTTTAGCAGATTGAATTTATCAACTTCGAGAGAAAAAATCAAGACCTGCAGCAATGTCTCTTTCAATGGACAAGATTGAAAGTGACTAAAGTCTCTCTGGACACATTGGTGTTTGGAAGTAGTTCTCAACTAATTTTAATTTTGAAAAACCTGCACTACATAAATGAAAAATGAAGAATCAAATTTATTGGTACAATTTATAAGTTTGGCAACTATAAGATAGACAACTATTCACTCTTTTTTTTCACTCTTACTTTTAAAATATCTGTAAAAATGAAACATCAATTTATCAGAGTATAGATTACAGTCATTAATGATCCACAGACCATTAATGGCAGTAATCTTAGGTTAATTTAAAATTAAATAAAACTATCAAAAATATTTAACAACTTACTTTTATAAATTTAATGTGTTCTTCATAGTTCAATTTAGATGGTATATAATAGGTTCCAGAAGAAGACAGCCTAAAAAATAAAAATAGTAATATAAGACATTATATTACACATTTACTTTGATTGCTAAATTTTATAGTTATTATCTTGCAATAACATCAAAGACTACTACAATGTTCAAAGTTGAAAACACTTATATATTTTAATTCCAACTTAATCAATTAAAAGAACAATTTCTATTCTTTGTTGAACACATTAGTTCTCATAAATATCACTAAAGTTAAGAAGCATGGCCTGGACTAATACTATGAGTACAAATAGTGGGATGTGGTGGAAAGATCAAATGCTGTTGATAACTACACCCAGAATGTGATAACCTTGACTGATCTAAAGTCTAATAGAAGAGGAAAGGTTAGTATCAAGAAGGTATCTGACTGTATATTATCTGCCTAAACTTGTCCCAGTATAGAGAAAACATGTGCAGCAATCACATATCATAAACGATTAAACAAGTGAAAGGTAAAAGAACTTGTTTAATCATTTATGATATGTGGTTGCTGCTTAATCATTAACTTAAAGAACTTAATCATTTATAAATTTTAATAATAATCAACTCACAAGTCAATCAATTGATCAGTGATTCTTTTATTAACTTCTTATAAGTAATATAAACTGTTTAATTCTAAAGTTAAAATATCAATAAGATTGTTTGTAAATGAATATTTGTCTAATACATCCAAATCTTAATTTAAGCAACAATTTTATTTTTTCCAAATCACTATATCAATGGAGAATAAAACTTATGGGCACAATAAATTATAAGTAAGTTCCAAAAAAAATGTTTATAAACATATTTCATGAATTAATTATTTGTTAAAACAATCTTTGTATGCATCAAACGAATAATTTTATTATTATTATTATAATAATGTTAATTGAAAATATAAGTAAATAAAATTTCATAGAAAAATAAAACTATTCTACAAAATTGTTTTTAGAAACTACAGAATGCATGAAAAATTTCTGACCCACTTAAGACATTTTTATTACTGTAAATCAGTTATTTGATTATGTGTTTGAATAAAAATGGTATGATTATTAGAACTAATATCAGTGCAAAATCTGTTCCTGTCAATATATTGAAAAATTCTCATGGAGAATCCTCCCAACTGAAAGGTGTCCTGGATGATGGATGCCCATTCTTCTTGAACATGTTTAATCAATTGGTCTTTTTTTCTTAACTGCAGATGATGCAGCACACTATACTGAATCCTCCTCATATGCTTTATGGCAGGATGGGTAACCTTTTTCTATGTAAAAGCAACATTTCAAAACTTCTGAACGGATGCGAGCTGCAAACTAGTGTGAAATCTGCGAGTTATATAAAGGCACACAATCCAGATTAAATAAAATAAAACACAATTATTTATTAACTCGCTAGTTCAAATACAGGATTTAATAGGATACCAACAATTCTAGTTGACCCTTTTTCCAACATCCAATTAACTAAAATTATCTTACTTAATACTAGGTTTCTATTACTACTTAAACTAATTGAATATAGCCGGCTTATTCGAAGATTTAAAGGTGAAAGAAAAGAATAAGGAAAGAGGGTACCCAAAACTTGATGATGCAGGTTGAAGTGTGTGGGCTCGTGGATGAGGCTCCTCGTCGGTCAAGGGGGGCTGATTCACTCAATTCTTGTTTCACACTGAAATATTAATCCAAAAGGGGCGATCCATCTGGTTCCTCTTGATCCAGTTCCTTTTTCTTTCTCTTGTTCTAAGGTCCTCTTTTTCTTTTCTCACCATACAATCAAACTTACAGAGGAGGCTTTCCTTTCGATCTCCTCTTTCCACTTCCTTCCTCTCAGTCTACCTGTCCTTTCCCTTCTCCTCCCACTTTCAGTCTGCCCTCGTTTTTCCTCTCCACTCACTCCCTTCGTTCTCCCCCTTCTTAACTCCCCCTCATTCCTCCCCTCACCTTAGTCCACTCATCTCCCCTCTCAAAAGCCTTCCATTCATTCCTTTCATCTCAGTTCACCCACACACTAAAGTCAATGGGAAGACCATAAGACTATAGAAGAGTAAACAAATAGGACAGACGAAGGTGAAGTGAAGATATATATATATACTGTTTAAAATATGGCATGTAGCCACACTAAATAAAAGAGGGGGAAATGCCGGTAAATCACAATTATTTATTCATATATAATTATAAATTAGAATAGGCGTACTTAATTTAGCTTTTGAGATGGATGTAAAAGTAATATATTAAGAATATTTGGTTAAATATTAGTCACTGCTAGTTTTAAATTAGTTTCGATGTGAGTCTGTTAGCCAGTTTCTTGTTTTAAATTTTACTAAATTCATTGCAGGAAAAACTGTTTACCTACAAAAGCTGTAAAAAATAATGTTTGAATTTTTGCTGTATACCTCCTTAAGCTGGGAAATTGATGTATAAATATATCAATTTCCTGGGCTTGGCAAACTGCAGCTGCAAAAAATATTAATGCAGCTGCAGGTTGCCCTACCCTGACTATGGGATTCAAGTCTGCAGAGTTGCTTGGTCAATTTCTCTATATTCCTGGAAACTTACACTGGATTTCTTGAAGAATTTGTTTGATAGTATGCAACTTCCCCCAATTGTTACATAATGACACTTTTGTGCATACCACTGAAGCACCGATACTTTTATTAATGCAAATGATCTTTAGAAAAATTGAGTTTTGCCAAACTTTACTTCTCAATGCATCAACAATATTACAGTCAGTTATTTGACATTATTTTGCATAATTTTCAGTTCTTTTCATCAGTGGCGTGCCGTGATGTTTGATGATAGGGAAGCTGTGTTTCTGTAAGAAGCCGACTTCCAGGGGCAATCAGTTAATTGCATCAGTGATAGTCTAGTGTCCATTCATATTTGTTTGTTCGATGAGCCAGTAAAAATCGTAGACGTTTCTAAATGTATTTTTAATAGATTATCTGATGTATTTAATAGATAAACAAGTTCAATATAATTACCTCTATTATTAGATTCAATAGATTCCCTATTCTCTCTAAATGCCAATTCTTATTTTGATAAAAAACATATAACATTTATTAATTTAGATATAATATATCTATTAGCCATAACTATCTTGTTATAATTTTCAATATTTATTTTATATTATTTACTAATGTTAATAGATTGTCCATCATTTGTTTTCTAACTAATTTGTTTTAAGACCAGGTGTCCATGGAAATTTCCAAAATTTACAACTTTTCGGTCACTCTCATTAAACTGGAAAAATTTCTGTCTTTATTACATTTAATATTATGAAGAAATCAGTCCCCACTGTACTTGGTTAGGGATTGGTTCAGTTAAGCTTTTAGGTAAAATTCCGACTCTTTCAGCAGGGTTTTATTTATGTTCGTAATCCTATAATCTCTTAATTATTTAGCTACTTGTTACTTTGTACTTGAATATTTGTAGTCTTGGGAAAGAAGTGGAAAGACAAATTTTTATGACAATGGATACATAAATCATAAATTTAAGGAATATAAATTCTAGAGCTTTTTTTGTACCTTGTACGTCTCATTCATTAAATTTAGATGTAAATAATGTCGCCAAAGTAACAGTTAATATTTTAAGTTTGTACAACAATTGTATACGTTTTTTCCTGCATCCCCTTATAGATGGGACATACTAAATCATAATATCACTAGTTTAACATTGAAATCTGTAAGTAATACCAGTAAACTCCTATCGATTGGGTAAATTATAAATCTACTCACAATTCACATAATGGGGTGAGGACGGTCAAATATCTAGCATGCAGACGGCTAACAGCCCAGAACCAGTCCTGGAATCATTGGAAGTGTTATGTGTGTAGCTTCCACCAGCTAAACTGCGTGAGGTTGGTGCTCTGTAAAGTGCATGTGCAAATGCCTATAATCTGGCTGCTTTACACTGTTCAAATATTTTCTCCCTGGAAACTGTCTCATATTTGACAATACTGAGCTTCCGTTGAAAATATGCATATACGAATTTATATTTGAATATACAATAGCAATCTTATCATTTTTCTCACATGTAGTATAGAAATTTGTAATAAGATACATAATGCAGTTATAATAAAATATTAATTTTAATTAATCCAAATTACATTAAAATATGAAAATAATTGCACAATATGTATTTATTTTTTAGAAAATACAAGGGAAGCAGTGCTTTCACCACTTCCAATGATGGCACACCACTGATTGGCATACTTTTTTGATAGAAAATCCAACTTTCTGAAAGCCTTGAATTTGGTTATGGTACTTACACACTGATAGCCAAACCATAAAATAGAGGAAACTGCAGACACAAACAAACATATGTAATATTGATACTGCAAGATATGCCATTATGCTTATAAATGCCATTTTTCTCTAAATACATTTTATTGAAGAAATGAATTTAAATGCAATGTTTTCTTAAAAATTAAATTATGACTATTTACAAAAATTTTTTTTTTTTTTTTTTAATTTTTCGAGTCTATCTTTCATCCTTTTAACACACCACAGAAGTAACAGTATATTGGCTTGGATGAACTTCCACAGAACACGTAATAAATTATAACGAAAAACACACAAAGTTAAAAACAATCGAAATGCCGACCTTTTATTTGAGGATTCGGCGTCCTTCAACATTAAAAACAATGGTTACAATTTCTGAGCATAACTACCATGTTCTTTAGCACAATATATAACTGGTTCAGGCCCTCTGGTAGCGATTTTGGGTAATCATAAAGTTCATTTGCATAACAGCATACATGATAACATGAAACCCAGGATATTTTCAATTAAAAATTGAATTATGACTACTGTATTTACAAAAAATTTTTTTAATTTTTTGAGTCTATCTTCCATCTTTTTAACACACCACAGAAGTAACAGTATATTGGCTTGGATGAACTTCCACAGAAACGATCGAAACGCCGACCTTTTATTTGAGGATTCGGCGTCCTTCAACATTAATGTTTTTAATGTTGTCCTTCACCATTGTTTTTAATGTTTTTCGTTATAATTTATCACGTGTTCTGTGGAAGTTCATCCAAGCCAATATACTGTTACTTCTGTAGTGTGTTAAAAGAATGAAAGATAGACTCAAAAAATTAAAAAAAAATTTTTTTTGTAAATAGTCATAATTCAATTTTTAATTGAAAATATCCTGGGTTGTTTATGTTATCATGTATGCTGTTATGCAATGTTTTCTGTTCTTTTTTGTGGCAATAGTGGCACTGTAAGTGGCTGTATTTTGCAGTTGAATTTACAGGTATACCTCGACTTACGTCGTTTCGAGTTACGTCGTTCCCGATTATACGTCGTTTGTCAAAAAAGTATATGGAAAAATAAAAATCAAGTTTAAGTCATTTTATTCGACTTTACGTCTGTCCGCCACAAATATTGAAGTTGTAATATCACTAGAAAAGCGTTTAAAGCACATAAAATCACATTAAAATATATACATTCACAAGTAAGTACTGTATTTACAGTACATGCATTCGTAAATTTAGATTCCTTTTTTTGTACTATATTAAAAACTAAAATTTAATAAAATTGTTTGTAAGCTTAATAAATAAAATACAGAACCGGGAATGGTAATTTATGGTTTAGTCTAGTGACAAGTAGATTTGGAGACAAGTAAATTCGACTTACGTCGCTTTCCTGGAACCAATTACCGACGTAAGGCGAGGTATACCTGTATATGCAAGCCATAATGCTTTAAGTGCCAAAGTTCAAAACACGTGACTTTTGGCACTTAAAACATTACAGCTTATGTTTACATCGCTTTGTCATTCCAAAAAATTTGTAACCTAGTGAGTTTTTTTACCATTTTATTGTAAAATTAAAATGAATTCCTTCAAGACTTGAAAGAATTCATTTGCTAGAAAAAGCATCTATTATCTCTCCGGAAAATACTTTTTTGAAATTTACAATATTATGGCATTGCATGCCTCATTTATCTAGATAACATATAGTTATATATGTATATGTATATATAAAATAATTTTTCATTACTTTTTAAGCATTTATAATTAATAGAAAATATTTTACTAAAGATTTTTATTAAAAAATAATACTTGTATTTTGGATCAGTAATAACGTTTTCACTATATAAATCTTCTAAAATGGTGAGAAGACATCGACGATCCCATTCATCTGTAACTCTTCCACCATAATTACATTCTCCTGTCATGTAAAATAAAGCTTTGAATGGTATTTCATCATATTCACTCATAAACCTCTTCAAGTGTAGTAGTGAAATTCTTAAATCTGAATCATCAAAAGCATAAGGAATATTCCATCCAATGGGTCCAAAAGTTCTTCTTTCTTGAACAATTGCATGGAAGAAGCATAAACTAAAGACTAATTTATGAAAATTCTGAAATAATTTAAATAAAAATTATTATAACCCCTAAAATAACTGGAATTTTAACAGCAATTAAGAATTAATTAAAAATTACTATTTTAATTTTAATATTCTTAACAAATTATTAAGATAATTTAGAAAATATTTAAACAGTAATTAAAAACATGTACACCATTCAATTGAAATTCTAATCAAACAAATACCAACATAAGAAAATACTTCTATCTGAACAGAATATAACAACTGTAAAATGAAAAGCATTGAAATTCAGTAAAATTTATTAAGAACAAATATATTCAGCCATTTCAACCATTATCAGGTTCTAGAATGAAATCTAATTCAGAAATTTTAATGTCATATTTTGAATTTGCCTCATTCTAATACCTGGTGACAGCCATTGAAGATGAACAAAAATGCTTATTCTTAATAAATTTTGATGGATTTTTATATTTTTATATTAATTAATTAATTAATATTATAAAGTTTATTCATATAATAACTAAATTTATAATATAAATTAAAATATAGATGAAAGATAAGCTGAAACATTTGTAAATTCATTTTAGATGCAGTAATATCCGTGACTGTTTAAAATTTTAATATAATATTTAAGATTTCTTTACCATAAAGTAATGAAAACGCTTCACATTCACATATATTGAGTAATATAAATTCAAACTGGATAAACATAAATGAGCACTAAATATAGAATCAATATCCAACAAGAAAATACAAAACTATATGAAAGCAAACTTTTTCATCCATGATGAACAGAGTAATTGAAGTTCAAACTGTAAAGGTCAATAGACTGTTCAACATTGATGAAAACATTTTCTTTCATATAGTTTTGTATTTTCTTGCTGGATATATATGTTTTATGTATAGTGCTTATTCAGTAATATAAATTCAAAACTAAAATAAAATTTTACTAAAAATATTTTTAGCATAAAGGCAAATATATATATATATGTTTAATTATATTGAATCACTATAACTTTTTAGCAATTTTCTATATTTAGGCAAGAAGAGCCTACCAATGAAGATAGAAATACAAGATTATACAATGAAGTCAATAGTATAAAAAGATCAAGGTGAAGTTTTTCAAGTACTGCATTCCCAAATGGAATATTCATACTGAGGGTCTCTGTTGAGTTTAACTGGTAAACTTGAGTGGCAAATAGAGTTTTAACCATCTGCTATGTCTTCAATGCTTGCTCCAAGTGTTTTTTTTTCTTTCTTTCTTTTTCTTCTCTTCTACTCCAGTAGCCTGTTCTTGCTTATCTGTTTCCTATTGTTTTAGTATTTGCTCTTGTGCCATATCAACTTCTGAGAAAATAGTTTCACACCACTTTATCTTCCTGACTCAATAGACAGGTAATTTAGTCAGATGATCACAAGTCTTTCCAGGAGAATTATTATTATTAATCACGAGCTCTGATAGGTGAATTACAAAGACTCTAGAATTTGTATCTTCTGATTAAAACAGTAGTTATTGGGCTGCTACTAGGATGGTAAAAATCATTTGGCTTTAATCAATTAAAATTGAGTTATGAGTTATTGTTTACATATATTTGGAAATTGTTGACATCCAGTTAGGACAAGATATGATAATAATATACATCCAAAAGTCCATTAATTAGCATCCTGCATTAAAAGCAATCATCCATGGTGTTGGTGATGATGCCTGTTGTGTTTGACTTTAATTTTATTTCCATTAATCAATACATTACATCAAGTTTATAACTGTACTGTACATAATATCCTAAGATACTGATATATACTTAAATTAAAGCATTCTTTTAATCTAAAACATTTTTATGCTAATTTATCAGTTTAATGTTGTGCAGCAAATTATATGGCAAGCCTATTTAACTATTTGTATACTTTAATTCATAATTTGAAATATCTTAATTACTATTAACACCTTCATAAAACATTCTTTTCTTTTATGTGCCAATGTGCAAAAATTTTGTATACAATTGTAGAATTAAATTAGAATTGATTGTAGTGTAGTGTTTGTTCACTAAGTATTTGTACTTTATCATTAGTTATATATAAATATATATTTTTCGTTCTTGTCGCAAGTTATTAATTGTAAAATTTCCGTTAGGTTCGTACCACCTCTTGTGATGTGGTGGTGCGAGCCCGTGATTGGCCCCTGCCATGACGTAGGTTCCCTCGTCAGGTACGTGGCGCGGAGGTATAAAATAAACTGTGCCACGTGCAGAAAACCCCCGTTCTTCTTGGTTCTGTGGTGCAGGAGTGTTCGTGTCGAGTTGGTAAAGAAGGAGAAGGAACAAAGGAAGTTGGAGAACAAGGGAAGAGTGTGCCACGTGGAAGAGAACTTTATGTGCGAAAACGTAGAGACTTTTCATCGAGCATCAAGATCAGCCTTTTCGTAAGGATAGTCAACTTATTGTTCTTTTCTTTATATTTTTAAAACCTATTTGTCGTGTCGGGAATATTTGTGATTTTGTTTTTAGTCCTATTGTCGCGTCGGGGATTATCTATCGAATTATTCATTAATACTCTTGTATCCGGACAAGAGGGGTGACAAGAATCCCAATGCTAACCGAAATTCGTGATTGAACCTCAGACATGTATTCTAGAGAAATTAAAATTGTTCAGTGTCCCGTTGATTCATGTTGTCCTTTCTGTTCTCAAGCTCACACTAACGTACTTCGGTACGCTAGGGATCTACAGTAGAATTAAATTAGAATTTTCCAAACTATGTAGTAATAATTATTATATAATTAATTAATTAATACCTTCATAAAATGTTTTGTTTTGTTTGCTAATGTGCAACAATTCTTGAGAAAATTCTGTATGTAAAATTTATTTTCTGGAGAAATTTTGAGTCCTAAAGATATTATGCACCCCTGAAAAACAGTACACAGTTGCTTTTCTGTACTTAGCTGGATAAGAGTAGAATTTATCTGTATTTCTGTTGAATTAAAGATAAGCAATAACTTTACTTGATCTCAGTTATACAATTCACCACAAATCTCCCATTGAATCATCACAACAAAATGACAAGAGGATTAATAGAACTATGGATAGCTTTAATATTATCCTTGTTTAAATCTTATTTGCTTATTTCAGATAAATTTGATTTCTATAATAAGCTAATGCTACACATATAAAATAAAAGTCACGTTTTTTTATAAATGAAACACTTTAAATGAAATATTACCTCTTTTTCTTTTAGCCCTGACATGAAGAATTCTTCTGTATTAATTGGATCACTTAAATAAGACCATAACAGATTTTGACGTAAACCAGTGGGGGTTTCATGAATGATTTTAACACTGCTTTGTAAAATAGAAACTGGAAACTGTAATATATAAAAATGAACTATGTACTTTAGAAATAATATAACAAAAAATAAAAAAGTTAATTAAATTTGTTAGAGTACAAATTATATCATTAGAGTATATGTATTATAATTATTGTATTAGGCACATAATATGTAGGTAAAAATTTTTATTTAAAAATTTATTTAAATAAGATGTAAATCATTTTTAGCCCACAATATTAATCACAAACGCATAATTGACTTTGATATAAATAGTGTTCTAGATGTATTTGTTAATATAATGGGAACTGATCACAGACGCCTCACAGAAATCTACGTTAATGGTACAAAAGTCCGTTTTGAATGTGACACTGGCAGTCGTGTCACCATCATCAGTGTTGATAAATTCAATTGCTTAGAATTGCTTAGAATGCACCCATAGCAAAAACAGAAGTGACCTTTCGAAGTTACACAGGTGATATTTTCAAACCCCTAGGAGTAGCAAAAGTAAAAACTGAATATGGTAGTAACTACTTTATAGAGGACTTATATGTCATTCCTTTCCAAAAATATGCAATAGTAGGAAGATTCAGAGTTCAAAGATTGACATCAATAAACTCAGCCATACAACTAAGGTCAACAATATTTTTTCAACAGAAGTAGAAACATCCATTTCAAAAATCATAGAATGCTACTCAGTTTCATTCACTCCCACAGTTGGCCAAATACCTAATTATATTTGCTCATTAAAACTGTGAGATGGTGCCAAACCAATGTTCTTAAAACCATGTCCAGTTCCCTATGCATCGAAGGAAGAAGTGGATAAGGAATTAGATAAATTAGAAAGTGAGTATCATAAAAAAAGTGGATTATTTAGAGTGGGGAACACCATAGTCATTTTCCCAAAACCCAAGGACAGTATGAAATTGTGCTGACTATAAGGTCTCAGTCAACAAGCAGTTGCACAACTCATGCCTCATCCAGTTGCACGATTACACCATCAAACATAGGAAGTCAATTGAGCATACAAAAGCCGATTACCTGTCACAGAATCCTATACACTTAACAAGGAAAGAAGCCCTAACAGAAGACCATGATGATACTTATCATGACACTGTTAAACATATCTCAACTGGAACTATCACTGCCAAGGACATTCAAAGAGAATCATCAATTAAGAAGGAACTATCGCAGTTCAAAAATGACATTGTCAATGGCCATATGTACAACCCAAAAATATCCACATATAATGGCATTATGTTTAGAGGACACCATGTAATCGTCCCAAGAAGTTTACAGCCAGCAGTACTGCAAGAGCTACACTCTACACACATAGGAATCATTCAAATAAAGGAATACTGGCATAATATTGACTCTGATATCGAGAATATGGTTAAAAGTTACAAAGAGTGCTGTGACATTAAAAAAACCCAACAAAAGCCCCAATACACAAATGGGAAACACCTCCAAAAAACTGGCAATGTATACACATCGATTATGCAGGACCATTTATGAATCATTATTTCTTTATTGTTGCTGATGCCAAATCAAAGTGGCCAGAAATATTCTATACAAAGAAAGCAGCAGACACATCTATCACAATTCTATTTTTATGTGAAGTCTATGGTCGATTTTGTCTACCTGAGATTTTAGTAAGTGAAAATGCAAGTATGTTTAAGTCAAAAGAGTTTCAAGAGTTTTGTTCGAGAAACGGAATCTGTCAAAGCTTAATAGCACCGGGACACCCAGTCACAAATGGCCAGGCTGAAAGATACTGTCACAACTTGAAAACACATCTCAAATGCATGAAGTATGAAAGTGGTACCTTACATCAGAAGCTTCAAGAACTATTATTCTGATATAGAGTGACTCCCTTATCTAATGGGAAAAGTCCAGTAGAAAACTTATTAGAACATACAATAAGAACAAAATTAGATCTGATCAAACCTCAGGTACAAGCCTTGAAAAGAAACATAACCAAAAAACTGAAATTCTACAAATTTTATCACATAGGAGATTGTGTACAATCCTGAAATTACACAATGTCCGGTCCTTGGAAATATGGTATTGTAGCTGAATGACTAGATTGTTTACATTATTAATTGAACTTGACAATGGATACTTAATAAAATGGCATTATGATCAACTACATCTGTGAAAAATTAACAAACAGACAAATCCCATTCAGATAGGATTCGACTTCAACAAAAAGAAAATTGACAGGTGCAACAACATAGTAAACAATAAGACTCATCCCCAGCTAGCGCTAGTCCACACCCATGCACAATTAGCTATGACAAAGGAATTGAACAACATTACTCAACAAAAAGAAGACAATGACAAAAACAACTTCCAACCAGCCCCCAGAAAAGGAGGGAGAATCTAGCCGAATGATGACAAATGCAAATGAATGATGATCAACCTTGATGATCAACCGAATACGAAGACCAGTACAATGCCTAAATCTCTAAACAAACAAATATTAAACATTTTATTAAGCTTGGAAGAATTGTATGTATGTAAACCTTCAGGGGATAACCCACACCGAATTGCCCCTTGACCTAGTTAGGCAACCCCGCACCTATGACCTTTGTCATGTTCCTTTGTCTCTGGTCAGTCATGCGTTAGCTGTTGTAACACTTAGACCTGGAGGCACAAAGTTACATTTGTATTATCACCAAGTTACGTTTGTATTATAATAAAGTTAATTATATACATTAACAAGTAATCGTTTATTTTACAGACACAACAATTTGTGAGGTTCCAGACCAAGTCTGAACCTGTTGTTAATTGCACTAAAAATATATTTTATAAAGCAGAAAAAAAACTGTATTAAATAAACACAGTATAAAGTGATGTGAACATAAACAATGTGAGTCCCGAATGCTACTCTGACATGTGTTAGATAATAAACAGATCAATGTCAGTCAGGAGAGTTTGAACTTTAACTCTGACGCTCACATAAAAAAACGAGAGAAGTTAAACTAAATTGGGAAACTGGAAAGTTTAACAAAAGAAAAATGTTCCATGTAGTAGTTAAAATTCCAAAATGTCAGGACAGAAACCATAACAATCTAAATTATAAGCATAGGTTTCAGAGCTCCATCAAAATCTCTTGATCAGAGTCACGAGGTGGTGTCGAGTGGAATACCTAAGACCAACTTTTTTCTTGACCCCATCCAATCTTATTTCCTTTTGGAGACACAGGAAGAGACCAATTGCCTTGAAAACAGATGACAAGAAGGAATCAAAACCAATTTGAATAATGAATTTGGAGATAATATCCTTTGAATACTCTGAATTTCAAGGACAAAGTATGGATTTTCCTCTATTCAACATTTCAAAGTGACCTATGTACTCCTCTCTCTGTGTTTTGTTCACTGTTGTCTCTACTGAAGTTTCCAACTTTGTCCTGTTGTCACTTCTCCATCATCCTCCATCCACTGGATTTGTACATGACACCACTCCAGGGCTGCCAAGGAGACATAGAAGGGACACCTTTGGACATTATCTAACTTAAGATCTTTGACCAAGAAGGTGTATTTACCTAATGACTATGTAAGTTGCCAGTTTACAAACTTTAATAAACAGGTTTTAATTGCAACAGTGCCGGAGTCAATATGTCCAACACCACCACCCATGTATCATCCTAAAACCCTCATACATCTTGACTTGAGTCTAACTTACTCTATCTTTCCAAGTTGGAAATCCTCACACATTTGGACCACTAAATATCTTTCTAGATACTGATGCCATATTTAACACTGATAAATACTTTAATTATGATCACCCAGTATAATAAAATATTAATTTTATATCTTGATGTAGTATTTAATACAATAAAAAATAAATATTACCATTTTAGAAGGATATGTTGTAAGCCATAATCTAAAATCTTTATGAGTGTTTTCAACTGCAAATGATTCACAGATTTGTTCAAGAGTATTCATCCATGATTCAGCCAAATGACAATTTTGGATAAGAACCCAAGATCTTTTCTTTCGACATCTTTCAATCATATCTTCAGCTTTTGGACCCTAAAAATAATATTTACAATTAAAAATAAGTTATAATTAAATAAATATGCAGTTATTACTATCATACTCCCAATGTCAATTATAAATAAGACAGTGTAAATTAAAATTTATTATATTTAAACAAAATTTAAATTAAAATAAGTCATATAAAAAATAAAATGCATTTTAATTGTTACTATTCAGTAACAATTAAACTACTACTAAAATACTAGTAACTGAAGTTTATTGTATTTTTTCTTGTACAATATATTACGTACAACATTATGTATATAATCAGTCAGATGAAGTAAGAAAAACATATTAGAATAACAAGAAATTATTTATTATGACATGGTCACAATGTTGGGCTGCAATTTGTAATCATACTTTTAATTTATTTAATTTCAAATTTATGTTCTCCATCTCAAATTAGTAGTGGCTTGCTCCTATACATCATACTTTTCTTTTAGCACTCGAGTCATGCCAGTCGTCTATTAATTGTTTTCAAGAGAAAAGTTTTGAATTGAAATAATGTGACTTCTGCTTTGCATGGAAGTTCTTAATGTAGTTAATTGGGACCTCCTGATCCTAAGCTTTCCATATCTGGTCTTGACATTCATCTATATAATTCTGTTCTCAAGATTAATTAATTAAGGAAAAACAGACAGATGGTCAACAATGAGATAGGTCTTCTATTTTTTCAAATTGCAGCACAATTATAAGTAAATTAAATATAAATTTAATTCTAACCCTTTGAGTTAAATTTACCTGTCCTTGTCCAAGAGAAATTGTTTCAAAATTATTACTGTGAATTCCTTTGCTTTCAGCAAATTTCCATAATGTTGACAAGGGATCAGCTCCGGGTGACAAAATAAAAACAAGTGGCAGAACTTGTGAAGAATCTTCATAATAATGTTCTAAATCAGAAGGTGGTGGATGTGTAAATCTTCTCCCCAGATTATTATCGATAAATTTTGATATCATTTGTATAACCTAAAATGTGAAAATTGATTTATAATTTTTTAAGAAAGATAAATTTTTAAAAATAATTCAAATTTTTCTGAAAACTACAAAATTTACAATAATTAATAAATTATTAAGTAGGAATTTTAGACTTATTAGGAGATAACGTTTTGTCTTCATTCTAAGGATGTAAAGTACCTTGTAAATTGAAGAAAATGCATTTTTTTATGTTTATTTTATTCAATCCTATAATGAAATAAAATAAATCATATTTTACTTTGCTGTAAATTATCTCAAGTTTCACGGATTAACATCAACTTTGTTATTTGATAGGAAAGTGTTTTCTTTCCACCTCAGGGTAGTAAAACTTTATTATTTTAGCAAGAGGTTGTCAGCAGAGTGGCAACAGATTACCACTGTTAATGTCATCAAACCACTAATTGTTTTATTAATCTATAATGAAAGAAGTTGTAAGTTGTAATTAGGTATTTAAATACTGATCTTTATTTTCATTAGAACAAAAGTATTCATGCAGAGTGGACGGGTGTAGAGTATGGATGCTTATGCATCGTAATTAAAACTGCTAATAATTATGGTAATTAAGTCAAATCAATTGACACTAAAATGGAATACATTGGGTGAAAAAAAAGTATGAATTTTTGTCTGTTGTTGTTTATTAGTACCTTGACATCTTTGCAAACAATATTTATGAACATTCAAAAACAGCAGCACACATTAATGCCAAACAAATTTTAAAAAGTGAAGAAAAACAACTAATAGATATAGTAATCTATCACCTACATAATTCCACAGATAACAGTTTCCTGGTTCATATGCAGCTGTTAAATAGCTGTATATAAACTGCAGAGGTCAGGTAGCCTCACAATACCCATTTAACATGGTTGAAAACATTTGCATTCATGTAAAATTCTGTGGAAATTGGTTTTGAATTCATTTTGTTTATTCAGTATATCCAATTTTGAGTAGTTGAATGTAATTATTTTGCTTTATAGTTTCAATTCTAACAATTATTTGATTGACAGATTGATTTAATCATTGAAATTTTACCTTTTCTGGTCTTAAGCAGCGTAAAATTAACATTTTCTGAAATTCCTTCAATTTTTCTTGCCAAGGTTGAGGAAAGGGATAAGAACACGGATCCTTAGTTTCATAAACTTCCTGCCAGTTATAGAGATGATCTTGGAAACTTTCTCTAGATAATTTTATAAATATTACATAAATCATTTATTATTATTAGTTAATTAAATAATAAAATGTATTTAATTTCTTACATAAAATTATCAAAAGCTGTCATTTCTGACAAATAACATAAATTATCCCAAGCATTATCAGGAATCCACGGTGCAGGTTTCTTAATTTTGTTTTCAAGACCAACAGCACCAGTTAAGAAAAACTGTAATTCTTCAGGTGATAACTGTTTATGAGCTCTACAAAACATAATGATTTGTTATCATCTATATTTTATGTCAGTTTTCAAAATAATACCAATAAAATCAATAATATTAATTTCATTACTATATAATAAAAGTAATTTACAGTTCTAAATAATGACAACAAAAATAGATTCAATAAAACTTTTTATATTTTATACATTACATTATATTAATATATGTATTATTTTCAGAAAATTGTCAATTAAAATTTAAGTACATATATCAATGGTGATAAAATTTTCAGCTCTGAAATTGTATCATAATAGAATTGTACTCTTAATGGAAAAAAACTTTAATTTATACTGGCAATTTTGACTGAATTTAATTACATTTTTCCATTATTCTCGTCAGCATAATTTCATTTATTGATTGAACATGTATTAACCATTATATGTACTGAAAAGAATGTAATATATATATACTTAACATTGTTTTTATATAAAACAACAAAATAGTAATATACTTAGTTTTTAAATCACATTCATTAAGTATATAATTTATAACATTATTAACATTTTTTGATCAATTTAACATAGAAATTAGACCAAATGGCTTCTTCCAGTAGGAATATTGAATTAAAGAAGTGTATAATAAATGTCTAATTTAAAATTTTTCAAATGTATTTCATCTTCTTTAGTAAAAGATCCATTAAATTTCATTTCAGGTTTATTTTCAAGTTTATTTCAAAATAAGATAAAAATCAATTTAAAAGAAGTTAGAATCCTAAACAATCTCTTCTGTAACAACATATTTCATATAACATTAGCTTATATGTGAATTTTTGCAAGGTAATGAATGATTATATTCAACTGATGTATTTTTGTATTCACAAAACATAAGCTTTGTGTTACTGAATGCAATCCTTAGAGAAATACACAAAATATGCACATAATGCATCTTTTATCCGAGTTTACCCATTTGTCAATACAAATGGGTAAACTAGTGTGAATGGGTAAGCTAGTACTATGAATGTATATTGCAATGTTTTTCTGAATTTACATATTCTTCTAAACAAAAGTATTTAATACCATATTCTAAATATGGGTAAGCATCCCTATTATAAGAACTGAAATAATAAGCAAAGGAGGAAAAGTTTTTAGCATTGTGGAGAAGCTTCAAATAATAAAATGTTTTGAAAGGTTGTTTGTTTGAATGTTTTGAGTGTTCTTTCCTTAATCCTAATGTTATTTTTCCCATAAGCCTTATTATTTTTAATTTAAAAAATTCCATAGTACAATGATTTTCAAAAATACACATACTCTATTATAGGAGAAACAACTGTACTAAATACTTCAATATCATGGCAAAATTTTTTTATATAACACTTAAAATTTTATTTATTTGTTCTAAATTTTAAAAAATGTTAAACCAATAGAAATTAATTTTTTATTCAAAAATTAGTAATGTTACTTAAAAGTTTTATTCTAGAATAATATACAAATGTAAAACATTTATATAAGCCGTTGATTTTGAAACTGGGGCAAGTCCATTTTGTGAAAAAAATAGTTAAAACTAATTTTTATTACAAATTAACATAAAATTTATGTTTTTAATCAATTCACAATAAATATCTTTTAATAACAGTATAAATTTGTTACTAGTAATTTATACTGTCAATGATATTTATTATGTGTTAATTTTGAAAGTGAGACAAGTCCACTCTAAAGAAAAATATAAAGATATGTTGGATTTATTACCCTATGTACTATGCATTCATCATTAATACTTTAAAAATCTGTACTATCTAAACTAAGAAATACAATTATATGCATGCAACGTATTACTAAATATTTTTACTTATTTTATCCACTTTTTCCTATAAAATTAAATTTTTTGTTTTATTACAGCTTTTTGAAAGAAGTGCAGAATGTTGAAATGAAATAAATAAGTAAATAAATAAAATATTCAAGTTTAATATTATAATTACATTCCATTCAAAGAAAATCAATGTTTTCAACAAATCATTGCTTTTGAAAGTGAGGCAAGTCCATTGGTGCATACCAAAAGCCATGAATTCTTTTTACCTAACACAGATAACCAATTTTGCATTTTAAATTTACATGAAATAAGATAAAAAAATATAAAATAAGTCTACTACTGTTTACAAATATTTTAAACCCATTCAAATGCAATATCTAGCAATAACATAAAATGCCTTTGCCCCACTTTCAAAATCAACAGCTCATATATATAGTATTTAATTACATCTCACTTTCAATTTAGTAATAATATTCTATAAGTTAAATGTATTCCTAAAAACTGAAGTAAATATAAAATGTAAACATTAATAATTATATAAGATTTTTAGTGAATTTTCTACTAAAGAAACTATATTACTGATTTAATTATATATTTTATATTATAAATTACTCAATATTGTTTTTAGAAATAGATATTATGAAGATTAATACAATATTTATAACACTTTTATGCCAATCTTCATATTGTATATGTTTTTCAATTTCTACAGTGTCAATTATATTTAACACCATTGTTTCCTCAAGATTTATTCAGAATAATTGTTTTTAAAACTTTTTACATCCTGTGGATACTAAGAGAATCTTTTTTATTATAATTATGAGTTTAATTATGCCCATAATGAGATACTGGAAATGAAGGGAAATGGAAACCTAACCCATGAACGTTTTTCTGAGAATCCAACGGGAACTCAAACTCAATTTATACTGACATCATTACTGCCTCAACTATCTACCATCATTTAGAAATATTAACTTCAGGAATAATTAGCAATATTGAATATAAACTAACCAAATGCAATTTTGAATTATCTTAAAATAATAAATTAGATTATTTACATTAATTTTATTAATTTAGATATACTTAATAAAATAACATTTGCTATTTTATTAAAGTACTGTACATTAGGTCTTATTGCATTTATTTATCAAATTTTATTAAGAAATAATTGAAATTATACAGAAAAACTTATATGAGAAACAACTACCAATACAATAAATAACTGATGTTAAAAGTAAATATTCTAAAATAGATTCTATATCATAAAAAATCAAATTATTAACTTTAAAATTATCTAGCAAATATCCATAAATTAATTTTAAAAAATTGTTTAAAATATACTTACATCAACAAATTACAGCAGAGGAAAAATGTAAATGCTAATTTATCTTTTTCGAACAAAGAACGACATACATTTCTATACAGACTATATGTAAAATGATCTGTCAAATATCTTATTCTTTTAGATAATGTTTGAGATCTTGTGCTATATAAATAAAATAATTTTCTATCATTACAATTTATAATGAACATATAAAATTTGTAAAAATAAAAGAGAGTTCATGACTCAACTGTAATCTGGAAAAACTTTCCAGATTTTAGCATTTTGAGTTAAATCTATAAAATATGATTATAAAAAATAAGTTTATTCTATCAATATGTATTTTCACAATTCTAGAAAATTGTTATTCATCTTTTTAACAAGCTCAATATCAAAATTAATACTTTTTACCTATAATGTGTGTTAGCCTGACTGCCTGTAAGCACTAAAAGCACTTAGTTTAAAAAACTATAATGCTTTAAGATACAAACTATAATGCTTTAAGATACAAACGTGAAATTCTTTTTAATGGATTTCACTGTCATATTGACAGTGAAATCCATTAAAAAGAAACTATTTCAAAAAAATTAAATTTTGAAATTCTGAATATTCGATTCTATATGCTGTACAGTACAGTATTTTTGAAATCCTTTTAAATGGTTTTTAACATAATAAATAGCATAAAACTTTTCTAAAATAATATTTTTATAAATATCATTTTCAAATTTTGTTTTATGTTTAAATATCATTTTAGATCATATTCAAAAATCTATTAACAAAACAAAAACTACTTAATAAACCAGACTACCTTTTATTAATAGACAAAATGAAAAGATTGATGAACCAATTTAGCGAAAATTGATAACTCGATTCTATATTTGGAAGATCCTTGATAGAGAAAAACAATACGGAAGAATGAAGTGCAACTAATTTGTATTCCATACGAGAATTTTCAATTTTTTTCTCTGTTACTTCTGTCACCTACAAAAAAGTAATAATAAATTAAGTAATTAAATTAAATATTTTAAAATTTCTATCTTTTAACTGAAAAATTGAAATTACAAATGTTACTATAATTTAGTTAGAGAGTATAAACATTGCATGATTTACATACACAATATGAATTAAAAAATTATATTATTGATCTAGTAAATAAAACAGTTTGGTTAAAAGAGAAAGAAACAACATATTGCATTCACATAAATACAAATTCTGATATTTTGAAAGGCTTGGTGTAAGAAAAGTTAAATTATTATTATGATCATTAGTTTCAATGTAATTATTAATTAGAAAAATTAAAGATTTTATTTCTTCTTATATTTACATTTAAATAATTTATTTATACAGTAGACTCTTCCATATCTGAACTAATGTAAATGGGAGTAATTGGGATGTTAGGAAAATCCAGATAAGGGAGTGTGATCATTTTTAAATAAACTAACATATGTGCCTACTGTATGTATAAAAAACGTTTATTTTGATTTTAGCACTTATTTTTGACAATTATAATTACAATTAATTTTGAAAGTATTGTGTTAAAGTTGTTTGTTTTGATCACTGATGAGCTGCTACACATGCCAGTGCCTCGTCATTATCATGTCAGTGATGGTTGATGCATTGTGCCAACTATAAACCTATAAACTTCAATGCAAACTTAATAAAAAGAAAATTAAAAAATGCACACACTAGTATGGAAAGGTGAGATTCAGAGTAATGTACTGTGATGTTCATGTGAAATATACGTAGATCAGCAAAGGAAAGCCGTATAAATAACTAAGTGATATCATAGTCAAACAAAGTATTTTATTTTGTGTATATGAACAGGTTCTTTTGGATTCCAACTCTACAGTGATTAATGACAATATGTGTCAAACAATATACCAACACACAGTCACAAATGTATCATTTGCAACAAGTATGAATGATAACTGAAAACTATGACTAATACTTACATACTAACTTAAAACTAGGGAAAGAAAGATGATGATAGAGAATAGAAAATCTAGAAAAATAGAATACAGTAAGGAGTGAAATATCCGGGATTTTTGCTGGACTTCACAATTTTGGGTGGGATACCATGTTGAACCTTTTCTGAAAAGTCTCTCATCGTCGTCTCCACTAGGTTTCACCTTGCAACTTGTTATTACACCCTTTTATCATAACTATGATAAAAATCCAATTCTCAAACTCTCTCAAATTCCCCAGTCATTGCCATTCATGACCTGGAGCACCACATTCAACATCTGTCAACCACGAGGTCTAGACCCAAGAATGTCTTTTCTTTCACTCACAAGCCCCAGGGCCTCTTTTCTTTCATTGGTTCCAAAAATCGGTTACTCCACCCAAGGGAAAAGAGTTAGAAAGGAAAGTTCTGGAAGGAAGAAGAAATAAAGAGTACGTTCAAAAAGTCGAACAAGTTAAATGCATTAGTAACGAATCAGTCAAAAAGTACAAGTAGACCCCCCTATAACACTGTTGATAATTCCGTTTTATATGAATTCCATGTTGTACGAGTCACTTAGATTTTACAAATACGTGTGCCGGGCTGTGAACGGCTCACGTATTTGTAAAATCTAAGTGACTCGTACAACATGGAATTCATATCACATGGAATTAGCTATAGTAGTAGTCTCTCCCAGTGTGCATGGTCTGTGGTGATGACATTTCAAACAAAACTCTAATGAAGTTCACAAATAAACAAGGTAGTTTACTTCATTAAGAAAATGGTACCTGGTGATATCAATGTTTCTAAATCTACTTGAGTGTTTAAATTGTGAATTAAAAGGTGATATGATAGAACTAACAGTACACCCGATGCAATCGAAGAAAAATATTTTGGATAAGGCTGCACTAAAAATATTCATATCTTCAATTGTAGAAACAGTCATTTAGTTATAAACGAATCAGTTGAAAAGTCTAACAAAATAAGAATATGATGACATCATTCTTGTTTAACTCGTTCAACCTTATGAATGTACCTAAAGAACAAAGAAGAGGACTAAAACTATACTTGAATTAATATATACATTAATATGGCATATAGCCACAGTACAATGTTTTTGAAAAGTTTTGGTTGCAATTGATCAGTCTAGATACAGGACAGTCTACTGTATATAAGATTTATACAAGCAATTTTCTGATTTTATAAAGATATAAACAAAAACTTTCATTTAAACTGTAGTACTTTTGGTCTTTCTAGCTGTTCTCAGGTATATCAACATCATTGATAGGATGGGTTGGAAAAAGCAAAATTAGTAAAGTTTAAGTAGAATTTTTTTATCTTGATTTCAAAAAAAAAAAAACAGAATATGTTTGTGGATATTGAAAAAATAAATTTTGGTTGGCATTCAGAGTTTACTTTCTAATAGTAACTTGTCCTAACAAGTTACTGCATTAGAAAATGAGATATGGCATCATTTGATATTTTTACTGGAAATACTGTAACACCATTTTTCATCCTACATCCAGAGAATCTCATAGTAATGCAAAATGAGAATTTTCTATTGAATTACTATGAGATTCTGTTATATTTTAGTGATGTTATATATAATAATTCTCTATTCCTTCATCTTTCAACTTTGTTAAAATTTCTCATTCCTAATTTTGCTTTTGAAAAATAATATATGCTTTGAATACTCTCTTTAATATTCAGATTTTTCTTTATATTGATTTTGAAAGAAGCTTTCATACAATTTATGAGAACTTTGAAAAAATTTTTCTGCCATAATAATATTGAATATATCCAATATCATTAGATTCAGTATAAGTGAATGAAAAATAAGCTCATCCAAAACAAATTTCACTGTATATTTTGGAAGAGATATCCATCTGTTGTGGTTGAGAACTATTTCCCAAAACATATGAAGAGGCCGGAGCAATTGCATAGGAGGACAAGAAAGAGAATACACAAAGGAAGGAACTCTCACTTTCAGACTAGAGGTCTCAGCATCCAGACAGAAAAAGTCATGCTCCATACTTTCTAAGTTCTATCACAAAAATTATTTATATTGGAGTCAGAAGATTTGTGTTATAAATAAATGTTATGTTTTATAGTTTATGCCAAGTTATTACCAAACACTAGAAAGTTAGAACATCTCAACACATCTTGATGATAATTCATTATTTTTTATTTTGTTTCTAAACATTAGTTTATTTACTATTTGTTGATACATGCTTCTTGTCCTTAATTACTTATATTATACTTTTGTCCACTTTGGACATTCTTGTGAACTAGGACTAGTTATACTAGGGAAGAGAAACACAATTTCCAATTAAAATATATTTACTGTAATTTACATTACATTACAGTAAATATATTTTAATTGAAAATTGTTTGTTTCTTTTCCCTAGTATAACAAGTCCTAGTTCACAAGAATGTCCAAAGTGGATGAAAGTATAATATAAATATTGTTTACAAATATTATTAAATTTTTACAACATAGTCTAGAAACATGGGCTATTATTCAACAACATAATTTCAGACTGAAAAAGTAATTATTATTTTCCTTTTAAGACATGTAAAGTAGTCAAATGATACAGCCAGATTTTTATCAAGCTAAAAAATAGCTAATTAATCATTAAGATAATAAGTAATTTTGACTAGAGATATATGGTTAAGCCATCATCTTGTGTTAAACTTAATCATTAAAGAGATAGAGCAACTGGAAGATATTACATAGTATTAGGAGATGGAAAACTAGAGATAGGCAGTTAAGCTGCCTATCTCTAGTTTTCCATCTCCTAATACTATGTTGTGGTGTTTACGCAGACGAACAAAACAAAGAAAGTGTCTACAATAAAATTTTTATTGTCGGTTTGTGCAGTTATACATATACAAGATTCTTTAGGATCCCAACCCCACATCTTTAAGAGAGTGACACGTCTTTTTCCCGACACAGTGAAATTTTACTTAACCTATCTTAATCTAACTTATATAGTAATGAAGAAATATAGCAGGAAAGGGTTGTTATTAAGATTAAGAGCACTAAGAACAGGACAAGAATGCTGATGGGGTACCCGAGTTTTCTTCCTTCCTTCCTTTAGACTTCGCTATTGTCAAGGTAAAGACTTGCGTTGATCTTTCTTCATTCCTTCTCTTCCGTGGTTTCTCCCTATAGATGTTCTCTGATTTCCTAGTCTTATTTGGTTTCGGTGACTTCCTTTCTTCATCTGCCTTCTGAACGCTAACTCTAGCGTTCGTAAGGCAGATGAATAAAGGAATAGAAGCTTTCTAGTGTTCATCCGAACGCTAGCTCTAGAATGAACGACTCCTTCCCCCGACTTGCCTCGGGGTCTTTTTCTCCACACCCTTGTTTGTCATTGTCTTTCACATAAAATGTGTTACCGCCAGCAGGGAGGAAGGACCGTTAGAAAGTTCAAGAAAATTTATAGACAAAGGAATGAGGAAACTTAATATTAAGTTTAACACTAAAGACAAATATATAAACGTTTGGTGTATTACCACAATGTAATTATCCATATTGTAGCCTGATAACAATCTGGCTGCATCATTTGATTATTAACATATAATGAGTTTGGTTTTACACAGATTATTATATAGACTGGTAATGAGATTACAGTTGCTTTATATAATATAATATACATTATATTAATTTTTTATAATATACATTATTACTTATTAAAAAAATAAAATGCATTTTAAAAATAAATTTTAAAATACCTTTTGTTTGACACTGATTTCATCAGCTAAAATTTTAGAATTGTCCAATATATTGAGTGCAACTTCATCTTCTAGAACATTCTTCTCCGATGACAAAGTCTTTAAAATCGTTTCTTCTAACTTTGCTAAATCATTTCTGTTTTCTGAACTTTGGACAATAAGTTCTTGCCTTTCTTTTTCTAGATTTGGTCTATTTATTAAAATATAAAAACTCTAAAATTTTATTTATTTTAAATTTATTTCTTTACTTGATTACAAGTTTCATTTGCTATAAAAGTATTTAAACTTTTTTAAATCAATTTATTAAGAATGAACTAGATTGAATACCCACTGTAATTAATTTTCTAAATTAATAAATGCACCTTTAAATGTGGGAAAACACATGTTTAAATAGCAGGGATAAGGACTTTTTCCTTCTGTCTGGCAATAGTTCATTAGCCTTTATCATCAAGAACTGTTATCATAGTCCATCTCCCCATGCTTGTTTCTTCTCCTGTCTTCCTTCTAATTGATATTAGTATTCCATTTTCATCTGTTTGCATCCAAAGATGGTGAATTAATTGAGTCAAAAACATTAGCATTTCTTCACATTCACCCACTGTTAAAGGTGCATAGATTAATTATTATGAAGGCAGATTTTGATCTTGTCACATCAAAATATTTATGTATTAAATATATATGTATATTCATAAAAAAATTATTGTGTATCATTTTGTTTTAGCTTTTAGACTAAATTTTTAAAATTTGTTTATCTCTATTTTCAATATTTTTAGATTTTTTGGTTTTACTTATTAAATATTATAAATTATATACAGGGATAGCTCGATGGCTGAGGCAACAAGACAACTGCCTTAACTGGCAAAGTGAAATTGAATGGCAAAATGAGCAGTCAAAAGGAGAAAAATATAAAAAATAATAAACCCAAGTACAGTAATTATATATTAAAGTTGTTATTACAAGAATGCCAAAACTGGAAGTGCTCTCTATTGGCAACCATTCTGGAAACAAAGGCAGTGAAATGGTTTTTCCTCAGGTGCAATTTACCACTGATTATATACAGTTTCCTATTAAAATTTCTTATTCCAAATATTTTAAGAAATTTCTTTCTTTTTTCTTAAAATATTTTAAGTGTACAAGTCTCGCTGCAAACAGAATTTTATAGAATAAACAGAATAAACAATAATCTACCATTCTATATGACAGAATTACAGAATTAATTCATTCATAAATGATGATTTATATATGTATATTTAGTAAAGTATAAAATAAATATGCCTTAAATTGTTTTCATACAAGAATAAATAATTAAGAATTTTATTTCAAATTAATTTTTAATTATCTGCCATGATAAATTATAAATTTAATCAACATAAGATATTTTACACACTAATAATATAGCATATTTTCATGCATATAATCCATAGTATATATAACCTGTGTTAACGTATACAACCACTCGTGGAAATAAAACTTTTAGATAACATGCACCACTATATACGCTGTGCATATGGAGCAATGGCTGCTTCCATAGGTGTGAGTTCATAATTGCAATTTAAAATTGGCATATAACCCACACCCTTTTCAACTCTTATTTAAATATAGATAATCTGTGGATTGTATGCATGAAAATATGGTAGCATAATGCAAATAAATTTTACCTTTCTTTAGCCACAACAATTTCAAGTAATTGATCTTGAAGACCCTCAGGTGTTATCATAAAGTTGATTAAAGTGACTTTATTTGTGATTTCTGGCAAGTAATGAGGATTTTGAAGTTTAGTAGTAATATATAATTTAAAATCTGAATGGAATTCAATTAATTTATCACCAAGTTTTATCATTTCAACTCCACCTGCCAAAATTGTAAATTTGAAAAATAAAATTTATATTGTTTGTTGATATATATCAGGGGTGTCAAACTGGCAGCCCTGTAATTTTTCATGACCCATGGCTACACTGTTCTGAAATTAAATAAAACAGCTTACAGATCAAGATTAACTGATAAACATCTATCTGCCATAATGGAGATTGTTTGTTCTCAGTCTTTGAATCCAGATATTGGAAAACTAGGAGGAGGAAGATAGTGCTGGCAAGTTTCCAGTAAAAACAATTAATAAAATTAATTGTTTTTACTGTAAAACTAAAAGTTTTATAAATATTTACATTAAATAAAATAAATGTTTAAATAAAAGCACTACTATAGCAATTATATATTGTTGAGTTGAATTCACTGAACTACATAATGTGTTTTAATTGCCCTATCTATATTCCTGCTTTCTCACTTTAAATTATAATTTTCAGAAAATTTGTAAATGTGATGTGATGTGGCCCGCATGAATCTTACCAGTCACATTAATGGTCCATTGTTTAAATCAGTTTGACACACCTGATATATATATATATATAGGATGGCCCAAAAATTAATTAATTGTACACTTATAAACTGTAATAATATGATTCTTATTCATACACTTGTATGAATAGGAATCATAAACTTTTGTAAAATCATTCTGACACTGACAAAAAAAGAAAATACCAATACCAGGAATTACTGTTGATTTCAAACTGAGCAATTGTCTGTTTCCTCTATCTATAGATATTGGAAAACTAGGAGGAGACAGACAATTGCTCAGTTTGAAATCAAACAGTTTGAAACTTTGCTATTGTACAGTACAGTACATAGTCCTTTGTCTGTTTCCTCTATCTATAGATATTGGAAAACTAGGAGGAGACAGACAATTGCTCAGTTTGAAATCAAACAGTTTGAAACTTTGCTATTGTACAGTACAGTACATAGTCCTTTGTCTGTTTCCTCTATCTATAGATAGAGGAAACAGACAAAGGACTATGTACTGTACTGTACAATAGCAAAGTTTCTTAAATAATTTATAATACAATTTACATATAATAAATGACTTTATTTACTAGAAACTAATTATATTTATATCTGGAAAATAATAAAATCTGGAAAAGAATAAAAAGATAATGCAAATAAAGCAATAAGTACTAATAAGTTTGCAATGCAAGGTAAACTATTTCTACTTCTGCTACATTAACAGAACTTTGCTTTCCAGAAAACACCATAAATATGGGAGAGAAATATAATTATCAACATTGGAGGCCTGTGATGAAGAATACCTTCAATATCAGAAACTGTTTAATCCTAACAGTGATCAGCCAGAAAAAACCAGTAAAATGATTTGTAATTCAGGAAAATCATGGCTTTCAGTTTTATATCAGAGGTTTTGTCTCTGCTAATTAGAATGTAGGCCTATGCCTTATTTTGTATTTATATTAGACATTCCCCAGTTGCCACAGAAATTATTTTCTTTTCACAAAAGACATTACTAGACTGTCCCTTAATTAATAAAAACCATTTTGTATATAGATGAAAAGACCCCTGAGCATCACTCTCTCTCCTGGGAAAAGTTGTCAGGTAAACAAAAAGGAGTAGAATGATCATTAAGGAAAAATCCAATACCAACAATTCTGAGTGTTATCTGGTAAATTGTATATGAGGAATCTTTAAAAGTCTTCCTACCAAGGATATCATAAAGAGTAGATTTATTTTGTATTTCATTAACATGAAATCTTTTGAATTAATATACATGTGCAGATTCTTGAACATTGTCTCCAAATGTTTGTTAGATTACTTATATTAAATTTACATTTGTTGTCTTAACTGTGTCATTTCTTGCTACAGAGAAATCATCAGAGTCCTATTAAAAAGAATTAACATGTTTTTCTTTTACAAAATTAATAGAAGCATGATAAAAAGAAATACAATCAAATTAATTAATGTATCTTTATTTAGTTTAGATAATTAATTCCAATTTAGTCTTTACAATGGTTAAATAACATTTGGACTATCTTTTGCATTGGTCTCACTGACAAGGGCCGGATCATCACATAGACAAACGAGACAAATATCTAGGGCCCGGTTTTTAGAAGGGCCCAGTCAAACTGTCTATTTTGAAAAACTAAAATTTATTGTTGTATATTAAATATTTTTTAAATAAAAATTTAAGATTTGTTTTAGTTTTTCATATTATTTAGTTTTGTTTTATTTATTGTTTTATATTTCTTGTGGGAGGGGAGGGGGCCCAGTAAAAAGAAAGTGTCTAGTGCCTAAAGTGAGTTAATCCGGCCTTGGTTAGCAATGCTCATTAATAAGGTCCTGGGAAGAATGCTGGTTAAACTATTGCAATAAACATAACAGTGGGTATAATAGGCTAATTTAATAAATTATTTATTTTGAAATTACTAATCTTATATATATTTTTATACATTTTAAATTTATAACTTTTCTCTTTTAAGGAAATCTGATATTAGAGTTAGTAGATCATCGCAGTATAGTTACTGATTTATCTTTCTCACCTGATGGCAGCTTAATACTGTTATCTGCATCATATGATGGAACACTTAAATTATGGGATTTAAATGATAATGGAAATAGATTTGGAACATTATCAATGAATAATAAACCAATATACTCATGTGCCTGGTCACCAAATGCTAAATTAATGATATCTGTTGGTATGGACAAAGTGGTTAGTCATTATACATATATTTAAATGTAATTAAATATTAAACTAATTTCTTTATAATGAGAACAATTTTAATTGTTTTATTTTATAAAGTAAAACAATGATTATTATTTTTGTTCATAATCAAGGATTAAGAGTCAGAGTCACAACTAACCAATTAGCAATTACTTTACTTNGTGAAGATAGCCCAGAGGGCAAGTGGGGGACGATAAGGACACTTTTGGCTTTGGACCGGAGGAGGAAAGACCGTCGGAGAGAGCGGTCTCGAGTTCGGTGTTGCTTCGGCCGGAAGGGTTACGAAGAACACAAAAGAAAGAAGCAGCATTGGAAGAGAAAAAGAACATTGGTAAAGCCGAGACTAAAGGACGAATTTGGGTCCTCGCATGTGCTCCGTCCCCATAGAAGAAAAGAATCCCAAGACGAAATCATCTAGTGGCCACCACCTCAGTCAACCATTCGGGTACCCGTTCCTTACTAGAAATTTCCATTTTTGTTCTCCCATTCTATTCTAATTCTTGTTCTTCCTTTCCTCTTCTAGTTATAAGTAGTTTTAAGTTAGTAATTAAGTGTCTCCTTTGTTACGCGAAAGAAAAGTTTAGCTCCGCTGTGAATCAACAATCGGTGTTGTTTGTTCCCTTTTGTTTAATTAAAGTGAGGAACAAGGAGGTCGGAATCAACGAACCTTTCCTGTATATGTGTTCAGAAAGTAAAATAAAGCACGTAATATTGTTTTATATTCCTGTCTCTTTGTGAGAACTCATTCATCACCACGTGCAACACAACACAATCTAGAGAAAAGTGTTTAGTAAAATATGTAATTTAACTGTTAGATTAATACATTTCAATAATCTTTATATAAAGAATGTTCAACTCTAATGAAGAGCATTTTGAAATGAATTCTCTAGCTTATAATTTCCCACAAACTTTAAAAAAAATGAGATTTAAACTCTCTAGGAAAAATTTCATGCTACAAGTTATAAATTTTTAGAGTATATAAGGCATGATCTAAGTTTTTATGCATACGTTTTTATTTTAAAACTACATGCATAGAAACAGGACAGGATGAAATATGGATGTGATACATTGGACTTTCTTTCAATGTCTCATATAATCAACCATATAATGTCCTATGTCATTCAAGCATTTGTCCTATTGGACAACCAAATTTTAGATCCCATTGTCATATAAAGTTGACAGTTTCATATTGATCCACTATCATACAGCAGCTATAACATCTTTATCATTGATAAAATGTTGTATATTGAAAAATTTCTTATAAGGATTCTTCAGATTACCATACTATTGGTGTTAGTTGTGTAGAATTGTGCATCATCATGCAGGAAAGCAACATCTATTATACACACATGCTCATTATACACTGAAACCTTTTTACCATGAATTCAAAAGGCACTCAATCCTTTTGCCCAAAAAGTCAAATGACTACGCTGATTACAATGCCTCTGCCATTTTCTGGATCCCAGATTCCTGGATGTGTACAATGCCACTGCATAAGATCTTAAAGGAAGATCCAATCATTTGTATTCTTAGATAAAGTAGTTATCCTATCTCATAGAATGCAAACAAAAAATTATGTGCAAAGACATTTTGATCATGTCTCATTCCTAATATTTCTTAACTTGTAAAAAAATATTTTATATATATA